CCACCTAAAAACTACAAATTCTTACGAGTCATATATTTAACTAAACTTCTTACTATCTTCGCATAAATTGGACTGTCTATTCACGATGAATGGATAGTATTGTAAAAATAATCTTTTTTAATGTCAACACATTCTGTTTTAGACTTTATAAAACAAAAACACCCTGACGGAACTATTTTGTCCTGTCGCAATTAATGCGTCACATCCGTAACTGACATCGGACATGCGCAGTAAGTTGAGATATTACATCACACCACCCGGCTGATTACTTCCTCCATTCGTGCGAGTGGTCAAGGAAGACTCGTAAAACTTACCAGGCGACTTGCTTCACAAAGGATTCAGATAGCTACACGTTCTGAAAACGGTGAGAAACTTTGACAACCTGTATTAACAACCATTTAAAGTGTTGCTAATGCAAGCTCTCGATACTTTCTCAAATTTTCCTAATGGATGGCTTTCGGCCTCTATTAAGAATGTTCAGCCGTTTCAACAGAGCGTATTATGGTTATGGATATTCTGGTTGAATATTAGATCGTGATGATTGGCGATATCCCTGCTTATTAAAAAACAGGCCTGTAAAGAGGTGACGTCTGCCTGCCCTTCAAGAGTCACCTTTGCTTGAGTAACTTACTGTAGATCACCATAGGATGCCAATTTAAAGACTTCATGATAATTTGCGTAGGATTAGACTGAACTATGTCCAGCAAATCTTTTTTTTAAATTATTTTTAATATATACATAAAGAGATTTGTCTTCACATGTATGGGGTTATACTCAATTTGAGCAATTTTACCAATACTAAATGTTTTACTGTTCATTTTTAGAAAACATGTCCTCCTATGAAGAAAATGAATCAAAGTTTATGCGAAAAGCAAAGGAGAATCCATTCGTCCCTCTGGGTGAGTAAATGTCTTCTCAGTAGTTCATTACTTGCAAGTTATTAGCTTGCCATTAAATTTGAGTGCTAGTTGTTTTTACCTTTCATTTGAGTCTTTTTGGTTATTGTTGTTTTATTAATTTTTCTAGGCATGGCTGGATTCTTTGCGATTGTTGGATACAGACTATTCAAAATGAAAAATCGGGGAGATACGAAAATGTCCGTGCATCTGATCCACATGCGAGTAGCCGCCCAAGGTTTTGTGGTTGGAGCCATGACTATTGGTATGCTCAACACTTTATCACATTACTCATTATAGATGCATGAATGTTGTAGATACTCATCTCCAGCTGGCCCAGTGTGTTGTTTTTCTTCTTTTTTTTTTTTAAACTGGTCCGCAAGCGTTCCTATTTCTAGTGAGCTGCACACTGAACAGGTTCGGGTGGTGATGGAAACTTCTGTCTCTATCATAACATCAAATCCAAGCATGCTAAAATAAACAACATCAGACGGGTCTTGACTTGTCCCAGAACGTCCGATATTCAGATATGTTTGGCTGCAACTCCTTTGACTGTTGATTAAATCAATTTTAGATTTTTTTGTATTAGAATTTTAAAGTATTTTTTCAGATGCATTTGTCCTCTTGTGACTCAGTCATTTTTCTTTTCTTTTTTTTTTTTACAGGGGTCCTGTTTTCAATGTACAGAGAGTACATCGCAAAGCCCAATGAAGAACAAAAAGCAGTACGGGACAAATGAACATAGGCTCTTTAACTGATTTAATCTCCCTTGATATTGCCTCATATTAAGGTGTGTAGAACATTTATTTAACAGTTGTGTTGTTTGTTGTTGTTATTTTTTAAGCACACATACCTTCAAATGCTCCTAAAACTGTAGTCCAAACCAAGATAAAACACCTCCGTCTTCTAAGTAGTACACGAGACGTTTGCTATCATTTTTGGACTCTTTAGGGTATTGGTATCACAGCTGTTTAAATTCTTGATACACAGTGTTTGAGAGGCCATCCGGATGGATGTGTATTAGGAAAGCCTGCTTCTTTTGAGAATTTGTTAGTGGAAAATTAAAGAAAATAGACAATACATACGGACATCTTTTTTTTTTTTTTTACCGTGTGTGGCTGTATAGCCTTGGCATAGACTTGTACATGATGCCAGTTGCAGGCAGTTTGAAATTTCTATTTAGTATTTTTTACTATAACAAGAAAGGAGAAGATCAAATCAATTTAGCCTTTTTCTTTTTTTTTTGCGAATAATAAAAAAGAAGAAAGTTACTCCAATGCATTTGGGGGACCTCGAGGAATGCTTAAGCAATCCTTGGCTCAGAGATTTCTCTAAACTCTAACAATATTTATAAATAAATGTTTAGGTTGTTTATTTTACTTTATAGAGCAGAGTATACCATTAAGCTGAAATGAAAGGTGATGATTTTGAATTATATTTGACCAGGGGTATACTCTACTGAGGGAATAAAATCATCTTATTTGAAATCCACTGATCATGCAAATGACTTGAATGACATGAAAAAAAAACATTTCATTTTTCCCAACATGATATAATACTGTGAAAATAAATCTTTTTATTTTCCTTTTATAAGTGATGGATAAGTTTCTTTCTTTGTCAGTGTTTCTTAATGTCTTCATTATGAAGTACCACCAAATGGTTTTCAATGCTACGTGAACCAAACAAACTAAGAGACACACCTATACCACGTGATATCCTGTCAAATGATATGCGACTGGCCTGTTGAGATGCTTTATTAGATAACTTACTCACTTTTCGGTTATCTATGAAGCGCTGTCTTCCTGCTAGCTAGTTCTTCACCTCTCTTTTTGGAATTCTAAAATGTGTGTGGACTTTGCCTTCTGTTTTCCCATCTATCAGATTATGAGATACCTCAGATATCTTAAAGTTGCCTTTTCACTCCTCGTATAGATCTACTGTTACTTACAAATAATTTGTTGTAGCTTTTTCCTGAAGATATAACAAGCAACACTTTCATTTAAGGTAGTAAAAAGCGCCAGATACTTTCTTATGTTGGAATTTTTTTGCCAACGTGAAGTGTCTACCTTAAAATAAATAGCGGAAAGACTTGAGCAAGTGTTGTTTATACCATCTACTGCACAAATCACAAAAGGGGATTTTTGGGTGTGTACCTAGGTTAACAAAAATGATACCATCTAATAAAAAGGGAAAAAAAATAACTGCTCAGATTCTGGACCTCTCCTCATTGTTCATGTAATTTGTATACCTTTAAAAGGCTCTATCTTAATCTAATGAGCAGAGAAAACAGGGAGTTTTGTGAAACCTCTATGCTCCACCCCACTCTACAAATTGAGAACATTTTTCTAAATAAAATCTTTTTGACAAACACCAGCTCAAACGACCTGTTGACTATATTATAACCCGAACCAGCAGAACAATGTGATACAACTTTTACTTTATTAAGTGCACGTATTATGAGATAGGGGAAATATTATGGGGATGGATTGGTATTTGATTATCACACTATTGAGCTAGTGTATGGCTGAAATTAGTATAGGTCCATATTTATTATCCCTAATCAGTAAAAAAATAAAATGAACTAATTTGTTGTTTAATCATGCAGACACCATGCAGAAGAATCAGTCAGGGCCTGTTAGCTTGCCGTATCAGAGTAATTACACTTCAGTTGAGATTGGTGAGTTCTGTTTTTTAACAGTATCACAGGATGCAGTAAAAATATTTGACAAAAAATATTCAAAATGACAACACAAGAAATTGAGTTGATCAAACTGAACTGTTTACATTGTCTACAAAACCAGCAATTTCAGACATGACACGATACCAAAAAGGTTATGCGTGAGTATTTATGTTTTTTTATATATCAACAAACCAAATAAAATTTATTGTACTGTTGTCTATGGTCTTATTATTTATCACTGTTAGTTCACAGGACCTTTGCATTAACATTTATTTAGAACTTCTTTGATCTTATTAAATGAAACAATAATGGATTACACTTTTAGAAATAGTAAATACACTGCATTAAGCCAGTGACACACTGAACATTGTCAATGTGCTTTGCTGATTCCGAGTAGAATACAACATTCCCGTTGCTTATAACATCAGGTTTGGACTGGTAAACACTGCACACTGACATGAATCGGAGAACAGTAACTACAGCCCAAATATCTCACCTGTGCTCCATGCCCGCATTATGGGGGAGGTATGTGTGTATGACTGAAAAATCTGGAGTGCTCCCTGAATCTCTTCAAAATCTTTTAAGTCTTTAGAGAGAGACACTGGACTTCCTATAATAAAAGCACTGTCAGGACAGCAGGAGCTTTGTTTGCAAATCTAAAAAAAAACCTAAATCAGCAATGTTTGCACATTGAGTATACCATATACAGTATCTCTTAAAAAGGGAGCCATACTATCACTGTTTTATTTGAGGGAGAAAAACCCCAATCTAAATACATGTTTTTCTTTAAACCAGGAAAATGTATTCCTTGTGTGTTTACTCAAAGCAAATCAGGGTCAGGACTCATTTCCTGTTGATGCTTGTCAGAATCTGCCCTGTGGAGAGGCTTGATATCCACAGCCCTGCGGGTTTGTTGTTTAATGGCAAGTTTCATTTTGCCATTATTTTTCAACGAATAAAAGTTTTATTTCCAAGGTTCCCACGTGTTCAATTTTTATTCGGTAGAATTTTTGACTTTATTAGATATATATAGTCATTATATAATCATTTGATATAAATGATCTTTCATCATTGAAATGTTTCCATAGAAACTACCAAATAAAGTCCAAAGTTGCTTGAATTTACTTTAGTTATTTGTTATTTTATCTATGAGATAGAATATCTGATGGTCTAATGCAGGGGCATCAAACTCCAATCTCAAGGGCCGCTGTCTTACAGGTTTTCTGTTTCAAGACACCTGACTCGCATCGATGTGTCATCAGCAGGCCAGTGCAAAGATAAATTTCAAGAGGAAATCATATACAATCATAATAAGGTATATTGAAGCAGGAAAATAGGACAACAGGAGTTTGGCACCCTTGGAATATTGTAATATAGTGTATAATGTAATAAGTTGTAAACAGTGGGTCCACAAATTCTGGCAGGTTGATGGATGCTGGCTGCCAGAATGTGTGCCTCTTATGTAACTGTATTAAACAAAGTCAAAACCTACTTATATTTTGTGTAGTAGTCTGGTGTGACATGAGGTGTGTATGAGATAAAACTTCCGATAGTAGGATCTAATACATGCTTTAAACAGAGAGGCACATATTTTGGCAGTTTTGTGGATTAATCATCCATATGTTTACTCAAATACTGAAAAAGCATGCGCCATTATGGACTTTATTTATTCTCAAACTGAATAATTAGACATAAACATCACGATTAGCTTCATGGTTTGTATTACAAAACAGGAAATTGCTTATTATTTATATTATATTTATAGTCCTAAACTCTTTTCAGCGTTTTATTGGAAACCGTTGCTGTTCAATAATCGTGTAACCGACATGAAGCCACACCTGCAATAAAAGTTTTCCGATTATGAAACAGCTTTTTTTAAAGTGTCTGTTAAACAACTAACGTACAGTTATTTTTGTTTGGAGACACGGGAAAATCGTTCGCAAAACCTCTTTATCGTTTGGAACGCTGAACCGGGTGAATTCAGCTACACAGAGCAGGGATAATTACTTTGGCACGACGCGGATATGATCCCGCGAGACCCTGTAAAAGTCCGGAACCCCGTTGCCATGGAAGCAGTCGCATTCCGGAAATTTACTTTCTTCACTTATCGGATAATCGTGGGGTAAAACGATATCAATAACAGGTGAGAATGTTTTATCATTCAGAAACTTAACACAGTAAGAAATTAACTTCATGGTCTCGGTAATGAGAAAAATGTCGTCTTCAATGACTGCCTTGTTTCTTGGACTTAATAGAATATGGAACATGACGATCAATTGAGTGGCCTTCGGCTTCAGTTCCAAGCACTACAGAAACAGCAAGACAAAAGAAAACTGGATAAGAAAAAGGGAAAAGAACCAGAGAATCCTAATGTCACTCAGAACCGCGATTATTTGGACCTCTGCCAGCATGTCGTTCAGGCAAATGATCCCAGTGACGGGTAGGTCCATGATGTCTTTGATACAATCGTGTCATTGTTTTTCAATGAGAAATTACGACGGGAATTACAGAGTTACTTCAAAATAGAAAATATCGGTGTCTGTTTAGTTCTCATTTGAATACTTTTCTGAAGTCTGCTGCAGAAGGACAATCAGGCCCTGCAGGACCAGCTGAGAGAGCTTAAGGATGAAAACGGACGGCTCTTTAAACTCCTGAGTGAAAAGGATTTTGAGATGAAACACCTTAAAAGGAAAAGAGAAGAGGAACGGATGGCCTTAGCAGGTATCATAGGAAAAAACTGACATGCTTGGTGCATCATCATCACTGATACTTTAGAGCTATACTCTGACTCATCTGCTCAGGCACATCAGGCTTAGCAGGAGCTGTAGCTGCCACCAAGATTGTTGAACTGTCCAAGAAGAATAGAGAGCTCACTGCTGAAATGGAGCAAGAGAAGATTAGATCCATTCAAAAAAGCAACAGAATCAAAGAACTTGAGAAACAGGTAAAAGTTATTTAACTTGATTTGTTGGATAGGTGTTCAAAAACTCTCCAAAATATTCTTTGAGCATTTCAGTCTAATGTTAGACCATTTTATCCAGCTGCAAGCTGTTTTACCTCACTGTGAAGCTGGGCAGAGGAGGGACTCAAAGTTACTGGATAAGAATTCATCTGAAACGGAGGAGGTAAACACTAATTAGTTCAAATAGTATGTTTATTCAGTTTTCCCAATTTAAATGACAGTAATTCAACATGAATTGCACAATTCTTACCCTGGAAAGCAGGGGAGTGCAGAGATCAAATCTCTACAGGAAAAATTAGCAGCTACCCAACTGAAAGTGACTGAGTATCGCAACCAGGTGCAGTCTGCCAAACAAGAGCTGAAAGTGGCTCACAAGGTAATGGTTCTTTTGATATCCACCTGACAAAATACATATTATGGTAATTTACTGATATATTATTCATTAACGCCCTGTAATGGACTGGCGGATTGTCAAGGGTATACCCCGCCTCTCGCCCATTGACTACTGGGATAGCCCCGTAAATGGTTACGATAATGGATGGATGGATGGATGGATATTATTCATTAAGTGTTAATATGAAATTTTTTATTTGTACTGGAGGAACATATGAATAACTTAACCAGCTTTACAAAAAGGTTGGTTAGGTATTTTTAAAGGGTTGAACTACAAAAACGGTTAAGCTGATGTTGTGCAGTGGTACAAAGTGAAGATGAAATTTAACATTTACATTCCTGGAATTGAAACTGCACATCTCAGGTCATTTCGGGTAATTGTTTTCTGTTTCACCGAATTACTTAGAGTGATGTGGACTTTGGGAAATAATTTTTTATCTGAAACCACCCAGAACAACACAGTGTAAAAACACTTACTTAGGTCATGGATGTGAGATTGATAATAAATTACCGGTACCTCTTAATTCCAACATTAGATTTTGTTACAGGTCCTGATCAGTGAAGTTGGTGAGGAAGTCAGCTTTCAGCAATTGTTAAGTTGCCCTGGGAGCTTTAGAGGTCGATCACAGCAGATATTAGCTCTTCAGACAAGGGTAAGTTCAAATTTGATACTACCATGGTGTTCTTGTCAACAATGAAACAACTAAGAAAATATTTCAAGTAAAGAAATTGCCTGAATTTCATATAAGTAAATCCAGCATTTGAACAACAGGTACGGGACCTTGAGCAGCAACTGAACCAGTTGACTCAGCAAAGACAGTCAGGTGACGGAGAGCATCAGGGTGTGGGGGTCCTGCAGAAAACTTCTCCCCAAAACAGGAACATTAGCTACATTCGCACCATGGAGAAAGAGAAGAGGGAGGCATTTGAGGTTTGTAAGCAGCAATCTCCAGTTAATTAAAGCCCATCTGGTAATGTAACAATTGCTTGCTCTTATTTTTCAACTCTACAGAGGGTCTCAGCAGATTACGAGGACCTCTTGAAAGAACATGAGAGTCTGAAGAAAAAGTTAGAGGCCTTTAAAGCAAGGAACAGATCTCAGTCTGAAGAAATCAAAACTCTTAAGGTTCAGATCTCCACCCTGTTGGAGAAAGGTAAACATGATGATGAGCTTGTGGATGCACTTTTGGTAAGTCTTTCAAGAATAAAAACATCTTACATGTAAGCAAAGAGAGGATTATTTTAGTGACTAATACTTTAAACTCCCCAACTCAACTGTTACCCATTTTAATTCCTTATAAAATGAGATTAGTTGGATATTGCAAAGAGGCAGATTTTGGGTCAGTGCTTCTCCACCAACCATTTCTTTCTACCTTTGGCAGAAGCAACAGAGCCAGATGCAGACAGTGCTGAAACAGCTCACAAAACATCCAGCTAAGCAAAGCAAGGAGCCTAAACAGAGCATGAAACCAGAGCAGATTAATGAGCCTTCAGAGCACACTGTTCTCATCCAGCAGCTGAAGCAGATGGTGGCTGAGAAAGAGGCAACGATCAGAGAACTACAAGAGGCTCAGAAAATACCTGACCAGGTTAAAATAAAAATGAACAATTCAAGGATACTGTAATATTTTTTCTGACTCAGGCACTTTGTATGAATAATTTCAAAACCTGCAATGTGGCATTAAATGTGTGTTTCCAGCACTGGATTGCAGAGAGTGTTTCAACCAATAAAACAAAGTGCTGTTCAAGAATGTCACCAGAAGATGGAGACACTGACCAAAGAGCCACTCCTTCAGAGTCAAGCCAGCATCATGCCTATTAGTTACATTTACAGTTTGTTGTATTTTTATCTATCTATCTATCTATCTATCTATCTATCTATCTATCTATCTATCCGTATATATATATAAGACATCTCTATATAAATATATATGCTGTTTATGCTTTGATAATTATATCTCTATTTTATCTACGGTATGCGCATGTATTAAATATAAATAAAAATATATTTGACATATTGCACTACTACTGAATTACCCCTTCTCCAATACTGTACCATTAAAATGTGTAATTATTTTATACATGTGCATTTCGAGACCATGGGCAGCCTAAATGAGAGCTCTAATGCTTAAGTTGTGTAGATGATTCCTCTGATTTATCTTGTGATGTTGTTAGAATTAGTTGTTAAAATGAATATTTCAGGAAAAACCTTTTCATGATATATCAAAGGTCTAATTATTTTTTATCTTACAGAGAGAAAATGATGGACTGGATATGTTTGGAAGAAGGGAAGAAGTACCACAAGTGCCTCCGGCCAGTTATCCTGGAGCAGCTGCTGGAAAAGGCAAGAATAAATTCAAAGTAAGGACCATGCATGCAACATGGTTGGGACTGATATACCTAATCTCAGTGACAGCATGATATGGCAGTGTCAACAAGATTTCAATTTTTTTTGTTGTTTATCTTATGGTCCGACTCATAAATTACACCCCTATCTGTCTTACGTGTGGTTATGAAGACCATGTCCCACAGGGGAGGTGGCAGGGGCCTGAAGGAAACAGACAGTCTCCATAAGCAAGTTGGACAGACTGTACAACAGTTGGCATTTATAAGAAAAAAAAAAACAATAAAAAAACATTTCCATCTTTCAAAAAATTTTTGACGTCTTGAGCTTGTCCTTACAAAAAAACATACATACACACACACACACACACACCCAGGCAACAGGAATAATGATTTGCAACAATCTACACACTGCCTATGGACAGTACTCATTTCTGCCTATCATCTTTGAGCTGCAGAGCCTTGTTTATGGTGCTCTTGTATGTTGTCTCCTGGCTGTTCATTCGGCTGGAGGAAACAGAGGTGCTGAGGCCATCCCTAAAGAGCACTGTCCACTACAACCTGCAGCTTTACAGTGACGTGATGAGACAAGTCAAGCATGTTTTCCTGGAGGCTCTGCGACAGCACCAACAAGACACTAACCAGGGGGACTGGCTGCTCTCTGCTTAGCCTCTCTTCCAGCTGAGCCCTACCTTCTCCTGTCACATGTGACAAACAGCAGCCCGCAGGAAACAAGTTCTCTTTGGCCTCAAAAACATCACCTGGATGTCTTTCTCTCCAGTTTGTAATGATTTGTAATGGTTTCTTAGTGAGACTCAGGCTGACCTCAGTTCAAGGATCCAACTACCTTGAGTAGCAACATTTTTAGCTTAACCCTAATGGAACAAGACAATCACAGAAATGCTTGATGTTGACTTGATGTCCCCCAGTGGTTTTGTAAATGTCAAATGTCACAATTTTTAAATAAATTAAGATTTGTGCCACTGCTGGTAACCTTATGTGTGTTATTGTGACACGAGTTACTTGTGTTTCAAGTGAATGTTTTTTGCTGTTTTTTCCGAAACAGAAACCCTCCTTTTTAAAAGTCAAAAAGAAAAAAAAACATTTCCACCTTTCCTCTTTTTTTCCCTCTTATTTGGAGCTAGTGGGTTGTTCATTTGTAAGTAATGATCCCCCCCACTCACATTACCAAAGTTTTTAGTATTCCTGGTAAATAATAACTCTAAATAATTTGTGACTTTAATCAGTCGTGTGGGAATAGTGGTTGAAAATTAATGTGAGACCAAAAATTCCCACTGTAGTCCCCCTACTTCCCTCAGGTATGCCACAGTATATGATCTTAAACCCCTTATCCAGAGGTTGTCTGAATATGGCTGATGGGAATAGCACCAGCATTCAAACACACACTGTGATACTTACATCCGAGTTATTTTCTTCCGAAGAAGCCAAAAAGGTTTCAGCAGAAACCCTCCTTCTTCTCTGCCTGCACCACATCACGGTTAATTTAAAACCATGGCTGACTTAGTGTGCTGATTCAAATGCTGCACTATGTCTTCCAGGACCTTGTGGGAGATTGGCAGGTCCTCTTTGGACCATGCGAAAAAGTGCCACAAGACAAAAATATCAAGAGCTTGGACATGATGAAGACAGCCTTTATATTCACAGCAACAAAAAACGGCTTGTGTTGAATACCCCTTGGATAGAAGGTGAGGCACTCTTTTATGTGACAGAGCTAGGTGTAGTGTCTTTGCAGCAGCAGATAACATACCATAAGCCTTTCGATTGACTGAGGGCCCTGCGGGGCTGCCAGATATGTATCAGATGTAGAAATGTGCGTCAAGAAGGGTGTTGATGGAGGAAATACCTGTCACGGTCCCTTGCTGTATCCATTTCCAGAAAAAAGGTTTTTGATACATTTTCTTTTCAAAGCTGCGTGAACAAGAAATCAGAAAAAGACAGTATTTTCATCTCGTTTTCTGCTTATCATCATGTTAGTTGATAAGAACATGATCAGTACTACCACCCTCTTAAATAATGCTTACAGTGTCTAGTTCTTGTGTTACTGTGTTAATTCAGTTAAACTCATTTTACTGCTTAATGCGACTACTCTTGTTGACTTCAATTATTTAAGAGTGTCATCACCTTCAAATAAATTACATTTCTCCAAACAATTTTGGTATTGTTTTGTGTAGCTGTATTACGCAGAAGGGTGTAGATTTATTCCAAAATGCCCAATAACCCACCAAACCAAACACAAACTTATGTAAACACAGCATACGTAAACAGCCTCAGCTATTTGTCATTCCAGGTTTGAATGACTCCTTTCTCCATCGTTCTCCTCAGAGGTATTCCCTCGTTCTGGACCAATGCTTCCTGCAGACCATTGACTGCATCCAGAAACTAAAGTAAATAGTGGAGCTGTGAACGCAGAGGTTAAAGTTAGCCATCAGTATATGAGGGATCTGTGAACTTTACTCAGGCCAGAAAACGGTTTGTGACTCTATGAGTCTATTCATCTCCCAGTGCCTCTCATTTACATGTAATGGAAAGAAAATAAACAGCAGAGTCCTAATGTGCTCATTTACAGTAAGTAGAAATAAAGTAATAACTTTTCATCTTTTGTCAAATACCAGTGAAGTAGCAATAGCCATATTTTCATCTTTCATACTGATCAACGTTGGGAAAAAACTGCTCTTGTTGACACAGATAATCACAATTAAACGTATGTGCTTATTACATTTTTGTTTGAAATTCATAGTGATAAGTTTATTACTGTTTGTCATTTACAAATGTTAGTTCTCATTACAGTTTTACGATATTCTATACTATCATGGTGTCTTAAGGTATTTTCTTTGTTCCAGAATTGTGAAAACTAAGAGCTTGTTCACTTTGTGGCTGGTCATGTTCTACTGTTTATATCTATATATCAATCATTCTGATGTCCATCTTTGACATCAACCTGCATTTGTGTGGGTAGCAGTGGATGAGTGAGGCAGTGGAAGATCAGTAATTTAACTCTCATGCTCCTCCTTGGAGAAGACACTGAAAACCTGTATGTCCCCCACAATAGGTGTATGATTCAAGACAATGAAAAAATAAATACTCGTATTTATCGCATCTAAAGCCAGAAATCGGTTAAACTGAGAAACTATTTCCAATAAAAAGTTGTTATGCTTTATAGGATAAAAAATTAAAATCATAATAAAATGGAACGCAGATTCATAGAGACACAGCAATACTCACAATTGTTTAAAAACTAAATACACCAGCACAGACAGAGACATAAGTAAAATCGATTGTGCTCTAGCAGTGCCTACACCACGCTTGAGACAATCCAGACTGTTTTCATGTGTTGTTCCAAGATGGTGGAATGACCTACCAAGCGCTACAAGAATGTCCTCGTCTATATTCAGAAAACTCTTTAAGACCCACCTCTTCAGAGAGCATCTCCTATCATAACTCTTACCCATACCTCTATACCCCCTCTACTACTCTTTATGTACTTTCCTCTATCTCTTAGCTATCACAAGCGACTCTAACTAGGGATTTTCCTCTAGAGAGCTTATTGTAAGATTATTGATAAATGTAACATCGTGTCTACATTGTAAGTCACTCTTGATAAAAGTGTCTGCTAACTTCCTAAACATAAACACATAAAATAAACATAAGTGGGTCTAAAATGGCCCTGCGATGGACTGGCGGACTGTCCAGGGTGTACCCCGCCTCTTGTCCATTGAACACTGGGATAGGCTCCAATTCTCCCCGAGACCCCATTAGGGAATAAGCAGTAACAATAATGGGATGGATGGATGGGTCTGAAATGAATATGTGGAGTGGTTTGGTTTTTCAAAAGCAAAGGCGGAGAGAGCTCTGTCTTGAAAGATAGTGTAGGACATTATTCAATAGCTGAAGAATAACTATGGTAATGAATGCAAATTTCAATTACCTTTGAAATTTCATTGTCTAAAATTGACAATATTACCAGATTCTTAGAATCCAAAAACTTCCTTTAACACATCACACGAGGCATAACTAATACTCAACTGCAGGAATTTATCATTGTGCTGAAGTATTTCATTCAATGGCCATGATGCTGCTCATGTTAGGTCTTTTTCAAGAAGGTTGGAGACTGTAAAGTCAAGGGTTTTGGAATGTTGGCAAGAATAGCGTGAACAATGATAACAAAACACAAGATTGCACATTTTTCACAAGTCATTCACAATGCATAGACCTAGATGGGGAAAAACAGAAGCACGCAGCATTGCTTAGAAAGCTGCTATGTTTGACAAACAGCAGCTGTTTTCTTTGTAAGCCCTGCACACTCCTCCACTAAATGCTGCTCTTTTCCCCCACTTGCTGTCATAACCTGGCTGACACTCTTGACACAGTTCTCTCACATCTAATCTCCTCTACAGTTTTCTTGCTCTAGACTGGATTGTAAACCACTTTCTGTCAAATAATCCCTTTTCTTCAAGCAACCCTTCACCCCAATTTTTCAGGATTGTAGAATACATAACTAAGAAGCCAACACCTGCTTTTTCCCCTAAATATTTACTCACTTAATGCAGTTGCAGACTAACATGATGTCCACATTACATTTATTAGAAACACTTTGTTAACATAAATACTTTAACATAAATAATAAGAAAAGGCTAAAGGACATGACACTTTCATCATCATATTGAGGCGTCACAACATAAGACAGATTTTTGCTCACGGAAATACTGTGTATATGCTCCTAATGAATGTAAGTGTATAAATATTTGTTTTGACACAACAGTCACATCGGCTGATTAAAACTTAATGAGCTTGCAAGGTCTTTCCAAGTTCACAGCTTGATGCACAATGGTAGCCTCAACTTTAAGGATTATCACAGTAGATTATGGACAATAAGAGGTCTCCTTTGAATTTTTGAAAATATTCATGGAGAAGTATTATTGAAGCAGGCTAAAACTATAGGTTTGAAAGATGTTTTATACATGCCCACTGCAAAAAACTCAATAGGTAACCCTAAATATTTGATCAAAGAGATTACTTTTTACACTACAATGGCATTTAATCTTATCAAAAACATACATAGTAAATGCAGCCTTTGCTATCTACAATCTGAAGAACAGGAATATATACAGACCCCGTGTGAGATGTTTTTCAGTGCTTATTGGAATAAAATAATAATAATAATGAAAGCAATTCAAACCTATTCATGAAAGCTGATATAAAAGTCTCAGAATGAAAATAGGCTGTGTACATATAACACAATGACCAGACACTGAAGGACATAGTGATTTAAACACATAATGTTTGGGGTAGAGACAAATGGACTTGGTTAATATACGTGAAAGTGGCATGGATCAAATGATGGGGCAGCAAAAAAAGCCATTAGTCCTGTGTAGTTGGACAGCTAACTTTGAAAGTCTGTCTGCTTGAGAGCGAAAGCTCTACTTTCTTCGTTCTCTCCTCCCTGCTGATTCCAGGCATTAATAGCTCTGTGTGTGTTTTCCTCTGTTCTGCAGAGACTTACTCAACAGACGGCCATGTAAGATGAAAATGTCAAACACTTAGGGACCCTTTGACTCCCTGAATTAAAATCAGACAACTAATATGACCTTCTGTGTTTGAACAGCAGAGAGGAATCATGTTACTTCTAATCTGCTTTCAACTCACCAAATTTCTAATTCAAACTATGAGAACGATCCTTCTGAACACGGGATGTCATTTTCAATGGGTAACATTCCTATTTTGGAAATAGAACCACTGTTGTTTCTGTCTGTGCTTATGTGTTATACTCAGGCTCTCCACCCTTACTATTTTTAGATGAAAACATGCTCATTTATACCACTTCCTCCTCTCTCAGGACAGCATTAGGATTTGGGCAAATTTCTAATCCTAGTCTCTTGTTTCTCCTGAGCAGCTGGCCACCTGGACCTTTGTATGCACATTTTTACATTAATTCACAATCAAATCTTTATTTTGTGTTGTCTTCTTTTCTCAAAACTCATTTAAATTCTGGGGATATCGTTTGGCTGACCAAGTACAAATATTGTATGTAATGGTAGCACTGTAGCAATAACTTTGTTAATAAAAACATTTATGGAAATTAAATATTTGCCTTGAAAACAAGAAAACAACTCTTACAGTTATCAGTGACAAGTGAAAATGTTGACCCTGACGGCATATATGACATTTCAGTGATGTAGTTCTTTACACGTCATTGTGACATCAAGACCTGAACAGTGAACATTAAATGTTTTCTATTATACAGTTAAAACCTCAGAATGAAATACAGTGACTCAAATGTTTTTGGGAATTGCATCCATTCACATACGGAGCTCCAGATAATTTAAGTTGATGCATTCTTTCGTTAATGCTTTTCACAAACACATACAGACACAATTAAACACAAAAAGAAAGAAGGAAACTTTGTGCACTGCAGAATGGATGTGATCCAAATGATAAAACTCTGTTCCTGTTATTGCACTGAGACAAAAGCCAACAGCTGGGAGCTGTTTCTGCACAGATGCAGACAAGAGTTGTAATTATCAGTGAAACTCCTCAGGCAGGAGCTCCTGGCTGCCACACTAGGACGCAGTTCCTCTTGATGGGAATGAGAAAAATTCAGATTCAAGTGTGCCACGTACTATTCCTTCCACAAATAAAAATATCATACATAGCCTGTATGTTAATTTCATATCTCGCCAGGATGTGTTATTCAAAATGTTGAAAGTTTACGATGAAATATACTCTTTTAAGATTTTTCAAATACTACTGTATGAGTTCAATGTCATGACACAATGTAAAAAAACATAATATTCCACATTTAAAGCTCAGAATTAAATAGAAATTTTAGAATTCTTTTGGTTACATAGGTGCAGCAATGTTTTGATAGTTCAGCTTGCCAAAGCCGGTCATCACACAGCATATTCAACATGTCCATAAGTATTCCTACATGTGCCATCATGTTTTCCACGTCTCACTGACTTGGCCTCAAGTGCATGCACAGGGATACACAGAGGTGAATCAGTCAAGTTTTAGGCTTGTGTTGTAACCACTAGAACAGAGACCACTTCAACTTAGGCTCAAAGAGTGGGTTCACTCGAATGCCAGAAAATTCATGAAGCAAAAATCTTCAATCTCAATCTGAGGTTGAGGAAAGGACATCTTTTATAACATGAGAAATATTCATAGCACACTCCAATTGGCAACCAAAAGCATAATCTATTCTGTTGTAATCTAATAGGATGCCCAGACCTGTTCATGTAGGTTATCCAAACTTTTGGATTGGGCCCTTCACTATCTTTGGAACAATACTAGCAGATGATGTGTGGATGCAGGATTGTCATTAAAAATGCCTAATTCAATATGACAATAACTTCCATTGGCTGTGAGTTTAATGGAATACAATACTAAAACAAAAAAAAAAACATTTGTGAAATGTAAAAAAGTAAACCTACTAAAGCACAAAATCAAAAGCTTTAGAAATCAGTTCACTCAGAAGGGTACTTGCAGAGTATCACCCCCCACTATTCTGCTCTTTCTTGCTTTAGGTAACAAAGGTCACAAATATGCAGAGAGGTGACAAAATAAAGGAGAAGTCAGAAATCTTAATGTTCTTAGTGACAGGACATTGTAGCTATGTTTAGCTCTGTTAGACGCTTTGTATTCTGATATGGTTTGGGTCTACCTTTCCCCTTTGCAGAAATAGTCACTACAAATCAATTCAGTGTTGTTCTGGGTCATCTCCTTGTTATAAAACATTTCTGACCTGGCGGAAGTGGTCTCTTCCAGAAAGATGGTGACCTTATTTGTGGGGCGTAGGGGCACACTGAATATTTTGATGAAAAAAAGGCCTAAATCATATGCTATTGTATTTACAATCATCAGACCTAGATCCAGTCTTCTGTACCACTATTACTAAAACATCAAGGGGAGGAAATGTCTTTTAAAATAATAGGAAATATTACCAATGCTATATTCTGCTTACTTTACATGTTTATTTGCAGTTGTTTCAAATGAGTCATTTTTCACACACAAAAGAAAAGGGGTTTGATTTACTTGAAAATAATATTCATTACAGGAAAAATACTAGAAGATGACATGAAATAGGAGCAGAGAGGGGAAACTGGAAATAATTTTACAGAGCTGAAAACAAGTGACTGCAGCCAAAACTGTTTGAGTTGAGTTTGTTTTTTTTTCCTTGGGCAAATGCCCATTGAAAACATTGGACTCAGCAGCAGCTTGGCTTATCATATTCTGCCACCCTGAACGGATGAGGCATGAGGATTTTTACACTCCAGCTCTCTGAGGCAATAAAGAGGATGACTCACATCTATTTGCTTTACTGTCCCTGCACAGGCCAACCTCATCATGGTCAACTTCCCTGCCCATCCCCCCCCTCTTAGTTAACTGCCAGCTCACAGTAGGATGAACTGGCTGTAAACCACACCAGGTCTGTTAATTAATTGATGTAGCCTAACTGCCGGGCTGGCTTCTTCCATTTTAGTGTAGCAGCTCTCAGCTGGCCGCAGTGGTGACTTGTCTGCATGTTTTGGTTGCTGCAGTATTTGGTAGAAGAGAAAAATGAAATATTGGCTGAGAAGAAGACAGTAGTGGATGAGAGGGAGCCTTCAGCACAACACTCCCTATTAATCACCTACAGGGCCATTGTGGTCCTGTCCTGTAAACGGCGCCAGTGCAGGCAGGCTGACAGAGAAAGAAGAAGAGAGAAGGAGGAAGAGGGGAAGAGAGGAAGAGGGGGCAGGGTGGCTGCAGGGAGAAAGAGGGGGATAGAATGGTTGGGGAACAGCCGGTATGCCCACCTCAGCTCCTACTGCGGGGCTGGGGAGCAGTGTTGCTGTCTCAGTGCTTGTCCTCCGTGTTCTCCCAGATCCCGGATCCTGAGGTAAGAACCTGATAGCACATCATGTCCTCCACAGGTCCCTCTCTGAAATATCCAGAGGGTTTTCCTTTGATAAGTGTAGGTATTTCGCAGTGTTTAAAAAGGCAGTCTGCGTGAATGTGATTTATGGCATTTTATCAGTCGCCAGAGTTATATATTGTCTTACAATGAGAACTGGGAGAAGCTATGTTACAAACCTGATGGATAGCTGACGTGGACAGATAAGCCATGCAAACGTGACTGATTCTGTTTTGACTAGTTGTTGTTGTTGGCGGTTTTTGCATTTGATAAAACACACACCTTACCTTGATGTCGGAACAAAATAGCAACCGAAGGAAAACTGAATTATATTGCTTTTCAAATTGGGCAGTTTTTAAAGATCTGTGTCTAACTCGAGCTGTCTGAAAACAGCAACATTTATATTTATCTGAATTGAATCACTTGTTGCAGTAATAGTTTAATGCTACCTGAGAATCTAATATGACACAAATATGCTATGAAATAACAAAAGCGTAATGAATGCATAAAAAGAGACAATAAGTTAGTGGTAGTGCCATATGTATTTTCATTTGCTAGGGGTATCCACATCCACAGAACTTTGATGTGTGGCAAACAGGCTTTTTATAGAAGATAAGAGGAAGAAACATCTCAAGGCAGTCCCGCCCTGACTACTCAAATGATGCTTTCATAGCTTTCAGAAATGGAAGAACTGAAGCTTGAGCTGGCGACAAAGAATGCGTAATAGATATACTGATTAAATATGTGTCTGATTTATGTTATGCAGCAGTTCATTTTTGATAGTAACAAAACAAGAACAAGTTGGCTTTTGATTTCAGCAACATGATTTTACTTAAAGAATACATTCTGTGAATAGGAGCTCAGTTTGATAATTCATTCCTTAATATTTTACTGTTTGCTTGTACAAATGAAATCGAAAAACTTAGTGTACATTTTCCTCTTTTCAAAAGTTTATCCCCTTCCTTTCAGTTCCTTGATTAGCCTCTAGAGGATCTCTTTAGAGAAACAACTCAAACAAGAATACCAAATTTCAATAACTGACAGTTATTTTGGTTGTGTAATAGTTAATACGATGCGATCTGATTGCAGCGTCCTTACGAGCTTCCATTGAATTGTCCATCAAAAAAATACTCGAAGCTAAAAGCCTCTAATCATCACACATTAAAAAAGAAGAGGACTCAGTGTTACATAATCACTCCTGAAAGTTAGTTCGGAGGACCGCTAAGCACCCTCATTAAAACCCATCCTTCTTTTAACACAGCACAACCCAGTTACAGTGAAATAAATTAAACAGGCACATTTAAATAAGTGAAAATCAAATCAAATTATATCGAATCCTTCTGCTGTTGAGCAGATTGTTTATTTATTTGTTGTCATCCACAAGAACAAAGTGAACGCAGCAATAATGTTGATTTTCATTTACTCACCCCTAGTATGTACATTACTGCCCCCTCCACGTTAACATTATTGGTAAAGGCAGCTAATGTAATAAAGGTTTTATTTTTAAATCCAATGATTGTTGCGTTGTAGGATATAAGTGTAGAGTTTCATCCGCAACCTTGTAACATCCAAACAAGCAATCAATATAGTGGACAGGAAAAAATCCCCTAGATGATTTGATCTGAAAAGTGATGCTCTGCTGGCTGCGCTAGCACTGTTCAAAGTCACTGATCTAACATGAAGCCTCAAACATACCATGAAGTTTTATTCTCATTGTTCCTCAAGCCGCATCCCCGGGGATGCATGTTTGAAATGTTTGTTGTGTCTATCTTATTAGGACTTTGCAATACAGACTACTTTAATTTCGAAGGACTTCATAGGTCAAGTCAGAGCAGTCTGAAAATGAGCTTTCTCAGGAGAATATAGTGTAGCTGCGAGGTCATATATTTGGATGCCTGCACTTTCAGTGGAGTGGTGAAGAAATTCGAAGCACAAATTGAGACACGAAAGAAAAATAAAGAAACAGTTTGTCAGTTCATTCAACTATATCAGTGGGTTGACTTTTTCTTTACTTTAATTACTACATTTTCAACAACCTTGACTAACTGCACTGTATTATATCCGGGAGAAAAAATTTATTAACTCCCTCTCACAATCTGAAGATCAGAAATGACTTGACAATCTTTATAAATGACTGCACTGACAAACTTCTGCTTTAAGTATGAAGTAAAAAAACTGCTTTGCTTTACTCTTATTTGAAATAGACTTCTTCTTAAATTCCCATTCTCTCGTTTTCCTCCCACAGCTTCTACCCACACCGCCCCCAAAGAAGCCAGACCCTGTTACTTCAGAGACCGTTGTGTTCTGGGGGCTTCGGTTATGGCAAGTCATTGGCATATTTGCCATGTTTGCTTTGGCAGTCGGTCAGTATGATTTGTAGAAGCCTTTTGCCATTGAGTTTTCAGAACACAGATAGCAATCATGAGAAAAAACTACGGGCCAAAAATGTACTCAGTTCTTTGCCATCAAGCACTGTGCTATAACACAAGAAGTTACAACACTTGTGTTACAGTATGTGAGGAAAGACTGTTGGACCTTGGAGATTAATCAGCACATTAGCAGCAAGTGTAGGACAAGAAGACAGACCTATTGACATGCTTTTTATTAGCATTTAGACTAATTCCAGATCATATGAAGGGACTCTGGTCTCCAAATTAACAAGTACATTTTGCACTGGTATTTCTTTGAAACCAGATCAATTGTTTTTTCAGTAGTTCTTTCCAGCTAAATGTTACAAAAAAAATTAGCATTTTAAATGATGACTGTAGTTAACTTTGATTGCTCTTTTGTATGTTTCAATTTTTAAATTAGCTATGGAACTTGACTATATTTTTGTAAACAGCAAAGATATTTTAATCTAATCAGTGTCCAGAAAAGTCAAACACAGACGGTAAATAACTAAGATATTTCACTTCCATAAATCAGTCATGGCTTTCAGTAAATTAAATTCAGCTGGACAATTGATACATTCTTACTTTCTGGTGACCCTAGATCAAAGATAGGAGAGAATGATGAATGGAAATTGTAAATTCTATGGCATCTTTTGTAAATAAATATTTAAAAGAATGTACACTTAGTAACTCACTGTCGAAGAAGAGCAGACCATTGCACTTTGAGCAAAGAAATTGTACAAATGAACACAGATTAAGTGAGAAATTTATCAAAGAGTGAATAGTGTTTAAACTGAAATCTTCTTTCTAGGGATGGAATTAAACTAAAACAGAAAATGGTCAGTCGCATTCAGACAAAAGTGGATTCAAACAACACTTCAGAGCTTTTTTTCAATAAAGCAGCTTGCTGTGATGTGAAATATGGTTGTGCCTCAAGTTTCCTCCAAAAAAGCGGTCTGCTGCAAACACTGTGATAGCAGAAACTATGCAAGTAAGCGTCAAAAGATAGATTGTTAGTCTAAATAAAAAGGGAGCTTTTTAAGTATCAAATGAGAGCCAGACTGATGGTCTGGGGAACTCTGAGGCGCTCTGTGGAAAGTGAAATCTTGAACCCAAAGCACAATCAGGGAAAAGAATAAGTGTCCATACCATCAGAGGATTGGCACTTCAAGCTTTTCATTTTAAGATGAAAGAGCAACAGCGTTTGCTCATAAAAATAATAAGCAAAAGCACTCTTGTAGTTTTTGCCTTGGCTAAAGCACATCTGCATTTCACAATTGGCTTTAAACCCAGTTATATCCATTGATAAAGCTTTCATGATAAAATAATGATAGGCGATGAAATAAGGCAAAGATCTTCTGTGCAGTTTTAATCCAGAAACTAAAACAGAGTAAAATGCTTGCACTAACTCAAGTCTACTCTGACCAAGGAGGAGTATTAGTCTCCCATTTGTCTAATATTTTTTCATGAGTTTTATTGGTAATTAACTAAGCAGGAAAATAATCAAAACATAAATATACTTTTTAAAATGTAATGTAAGTGTAGACCATGTAAGTACAAAGAGTGCTCACTTTCAGTGGCTTTATGCAATAGACATAGACATCCATCCATCCATCCATCCATCCATCCATCCATCCATCCATCCATCCATCCATCCATCCATCTTAGTGTTGGAATAGAAATGACATGCTTTGGGCAAAATGATTTACCTTTTTCTCACAACTGAGGAGCTTCTCTGACACACCTCTATGTGTTGTGCCGTGGACACATAGCTGTTAAATATTCTGAGCTGACATTGGGTTTTTTCTGTGCATCATTCAGCTGCTTCAGTATTAAAGTAAATTCTTAGGAGAGAGGAGTCATGCCCCCAGTAAACAACAATAGCAGAAGGTTATTTATTCTCTCCTGAGAAAGAAATAATCTCTGACTCTTTTTAAAACAAGGTGGCATGGTCACCCCCACCTAATCAGCAGAGGAGGCCTTCCTCACAGGCAGACATGAAATGAGTCGTAATTCTGGAGGACAAGCCTGTAGCATTCTGTAATGCCATCATGGAATTTAAAAAAATGTTATTGATACTACAAAAATGAGAAAACCAAACACCACAGAGACAAAGAATTCTTAAATTGACACAGGTTAAATTAGCTAAAAGTTCTTTTTTTCTGTTAAAAAAGTGCTATTTATTAACTCTCAACTGGGAGTTTCACTCTTTTAAACCACATATTTGTAAACCTTTTTTCACAAAGATGTTACAAGTAATAGAATTTATTACTCAGATAATCTCATCATGTCTATGATCTTATTCCTCTCTCCTTTAGTCATCACTTTGTGTTGTATATTCAAATGCCGAATCCCAAGAACCAAAAAGGAAATAGAGGCCAGGCATGCACAGAGACAGGCTGCCAAGACATATGCCAACACGTTGGAGACAGTGCCACCTCTGAATGAGCTGACTGAAATTCCAGGATGTAAGTAGTTTTGCTTCTGTCTTTTAAATATTCATATATCCAAACTTGGTGGGTAATAACAGTGAGCAGGAGCTTTAACCTTTATGCTAAATATTACAGTTTATTTTTTTGGCTTGTTCTATTTTTCACTCCTGCTTCTTTACGTTTACATTTAGGGGTTACCAGGATAGAAAATATGAGATCAATGTTTGACGATCCCTTTATGATATCTTTTCTATTCTGTTTTTCCATCCTTTATTCTTTTCTCTTCTTTTCTATTCTCTTTTCCTCTTCCAGCTAACCCTGGTGCCTCTGCAGTGCAAACTGTGTCTGAGCAGGTCTCAACTCAAAGTGAAAACAGCAGCAATCTCTCAGTAGCTAGGGCCAGCGAGGAGCAGCCCAGCTCTCACTCTTTGCCAGACACGGAGTAATGCTTTTCTCCTTTTCTTCTGCTCTTCCTTCAGACTCTTGCATGGGTTAATTTATTTTACAAAACACAACTTGAAAAAGGCACAGTCACTCTTAGAATTCCATTTTTGTAGATCTACTGCACGCATAGACCATCTAGTGTCACAGAGTTTCTAATAATTGCAACTAAATTATATTCAAGTCATGTTTAGCCACTTGGAAATGTCACATTTAAAGAAAGCACAGTTTACAATGTTCAGACCTTTTGTGATTGTGAAGAACTGCAATTGTGTGTATTAGGAAATCAAGCATGCATATGTAGCTGAAAAATACACATTGTGCTACTTTTCATGGTCTGTAGTGCTTAACTGTTGAAGTTAGCCCTTTTATATTTTGTGAGGCACTCTTCTTCCTAATATGATAAATGATTTATATTTTACCTAATGCATGCATGCATGATCATTTTGAAAACAAGCAACGTTACTAAGAAATTCTGAGACAGAAATTTGCCATCACAATAAGTGGTGCAAAATACCATGCATGCAGCACTCTTAATTTTTAATGTTCCTGGACTGTTCTTTCCTGTTTTCCTGTCTGTCTGTGTGTTCTCCTCAGATCAGGTTTGAAAAAAGGTAATTGCTTATACTGCTCACAGTGTAAATGAATCACCACTGCTGTCAGTAAAGGTTTTGTCTGCTTAAATTATCTCTATCCTTTATCTCTCCTCTGGTGTGTTTCTCCTCCCCTTGAGTGTTGCTTTGTATATCGAGATTTATCTAGCTTCTTGATCATGTCCAAACTTTCAATCTTTCAGTGAAAAAAATGATTGAGATTAATTAAGATATGGTACGCATTGATTAGCTCTTGCACAATTAATGACTCTGATAAGATTTGCTTTTCAGGGGAATAAAAACAATATGATGAACAATATGATGAAGCAACTGTTACTCGAGCAGTACCTCTTCATTCTATTCAGTATTCCTTTCATATGCATGAAAGTGAACACTCATCTTTTGGACAATGGCAATTAACCATGTGGACTGGAGAGGGAATGGAGGGAAGACATTCTGTCTGCTGAACACCTATAGTGCAGCTGATTAGATCCATAAACTTATTACAAGCTATGGTCTGTTTGCTTTGAGATTACCAAAAGTGGGGTAAATCAATGTTTTTCAAAAATGTATTTTGTGAGAAGTTGACTATTCAGAAATATTCTTTCAAAGTAATCAGTGTTACAATCACTGGAGTGTACATATTGAATAATAACAGTGACATGCATTAAAAAAGGAGAAAAGAACTCAGCAGGAAACAGATGACCTCAATTCCAAAAGTTACAGACATCCTTAATATTTCAAGCATTTTTACTCTTTTATTCACATTCTTATTAGTGTTGAGAAGAAGGAAAGAAGGAAAAGGGACCAAAGCAGCACTTTGGGCATGTGCGATATTTGTAAGGCTCTTAGCCAGTATCACAGCCTGTAAATGCCTTTTGTTGCTTTCAAAGGGGCTTTTCAAGTTTATTGTTTTCTTCTTTGACTGTTTTGAACACACTTGTACACCAATGTCTTCTACTTTCTTCAAATTTGACTTTTCATTTGCATAGTTTTGTCATAATATCTCAGACCTAGATTTTCAGACTGACACAGTTCCTGCTGGCTGCCACTTTATAATCATATTACAGCCTGACAGGCATAAGACTTTGGTATCTTCTCATGTTTTGTGGGCATTAATTATTTGAAATTTCAGTGTTAGCTTCTTCTTAAATTAGCTGGTGGCTGGTAATAGTGGCTGATGACTGCTGAGTTTGAAGAGTCAGAGTTTAAAGCTTTGAAATGTATGTCTCTTGGACTCTTCTAAGGATGATTATGAACAAGCCATGATAATTGCAAGCTCCCTGAAGAGAGACTCAGTTTCTTTTTCTTAAAAAAGGCCTTAAACATTTATGTGGTGCCCATTTTTTTTTCCACTCTAAAACTCTATAAAATGAAATAATTATACTGCCTAGATGGGAACATTCAGCTTCAGAAAATATACTTTTTAAAGGTGAGTTAATACTTTAATTGTTCAAACTGACAAAAAAGCCTATTGAGAATTTATAATATATGTGAATTCTATTGTAAATGTTACAAATGTTGGCCAAAACATGCTAATGCATGGTAATGCTAACAACAATAATCCATTAAGTCTGTACATTGTTGGGCAAAATAGCCCAACAAATTTAGATAGCCAAAAACTCACTATATATTTATTAGTTTTTTATTTATTGATTGAATGGCTCTGTGACTTCCTGTGTTTGAATATATAAAGCTGTTCAAAGTATGCCGAGCAAAATCATGTCAGAAAAATAATGAGCCCCCTCACTATGTTTCCTAAAAATCAGTCATAAAAGCCACGAAGGTTTAGTCATTATGCATTTTCACTCTGTTCGTTTTCCTCACAAGGATTCACAACATGAAGAAAGAACAAGAATTTGAAATAAAGAGCTGTGAAACATTTCCACCAATTTGGCACTTTGGCTTATCCTCCATCAGCTTTCTCCAGAACGGCTGCTTCAAGAGTACAATTTACATATGTCAAGTAGCTGAGTATTAAAATGTTCTGTGTCGCCAAAGAGTTGCCTCAAGTATAATCCTCACAAATCTATTTCCTACACTTCTGAATTGGCAGCAGGTAATGTGAAGCTCATTACATTAAAACTCTTGAACATAGTTTAATGATGTGTCCAGCCTTTTCTTACGGTGGCAAATGCAAAGAATGTAAAATAGTTTTTGTCTGCAAAATTAGTCAGGTTTTTATAAAGGATCTTTGACCAAAATGTGATTCTGTATTGTTAAAGTAGGACACACCTTTCGATTAAAAATCATGCCTTTACTTTGCACCTGGGAAAAACAAGCTTTATCGTGAAGCGATGCAGCACCTCCAAATGTCATCTGAAAAGGAGATTGATGTTGAATCAAATAGATATGAACACAAAAAAAACGTGGATTTCAGTAATAATGATTAAAGTGTGTGAGACATGTAAAATAGTGCCTCTTTGATTATATCAAGCCAGCCATCTTAACGAAAACAAAGAGAAACATGAATCATTAAAGTTTACTTTAACTGCCTCTGGCAACCTTTAACATTTGCTGATTGTTTGATTTCTTGGCCTTGTGTATGAGATTTAGGGGAATGTTTCACTACTGGGGAAAACATGGAGAAAATCAAGGCTTCGCTGGCCCTAACATGCGTTAGGAACTAATTTGTCAGCCTAGCAGGGAGTGCTATACATGTTACAAAAAAACATTGATATGTATAATTCTTTTGTCTCCCTTTCGAGAAAGCTGAGCATCATGAGGCTAAATTTGGAACATTAAGGGATAATTGTCTTAAAGAAACACCACAACAGAGATGCAACAAACAAACAAAACAAATAAAGGTGGTTGTCTTAAAATATTGAGGGAGTTTATGGTGTTAACTATATTCCATATAGTTAAAAAAGATTCAGATTTATTGTCCTTCTGATGTTAAATCAGTTAATTTTTCAATAAAACTTAAAGAGAAATTTTAATTGATTCTATGAAGGCAACTTGATGAACATTGGCATTGTTTTAACATGTCAACATTTGTACAATGTTATATAGAATAATTACATTATAGACATTCTTGGCTGTATAATCCTATATATGCCAACAATTGCTCTGTGATCATTTCACTTTAAGAGAGTTAAACAGGCCATTCTAATTTTGAGCAAAAATAAACTAATTAAGTATGGGCCACCCATGAAAAAAGTATCTTTGACCTAGTCCGCCTCTGGTTCTGACATCAGTTCACTGGTTCTACTCCCTGAAGTGTGTCAATGGCTGTGGATGGATTGAAAAATAGATGCAGTTTCATGATGATCAAACACCTATTTTGCTGGTTTAATAAAATTATGAACCAAAATTACATTGACATGTAACGATTACATGTTGAAAAATTAAAAACAAACAAAAATACTATAGTGTTTTGCGCCCTCGTTCCATGTGGTTTCTTAACAATCCCGACAAAAAGGTACTGTGCTGTTAACATCTATCCTTAAACAATATAAGGGTTAGGGTTAGGGGTTTTTATATAACTTCCATGTGATATTAAACCTCGCTGCCTCTGAGCAGCTACCTCTTAAAAAACAACTAACTTTAAACCCTGGCAAACCAATTCTTTTTACACTTCTCACCTACGGAGTGCACCTCGACCAATTCCATTAAAATACTAATTAGATCGTGCTCATTAGAGCAGCAATAACAGCTGCAGTTTCCTGACACGCAACATACTTTGCACACCTTACTGTTGACTTCAATTTCCCCTCCAGTTGTCTTCTCTGACAGGATCCTAATGATACCCGATGCTGCTGGAAAGTCTATAACCCCTCTTTCTTGTTGTTTTTTTGCAGCTGCTAAAGCAGAAGAAAAGGAGGAAGTGACAACTGTGTCTGGGAAGGTGGATGCTGCAAAAGGAGAGAAGAAAACAACGGAGGGCAAGAAAGAAGGCAAGAGTGCCAAAGAAGGGAAAGGAGATGAAAAAGATGCACCAACAAAGAAGAAGGGTGAAAAGGGTGAAAAGGGATCATCCCAAAAAGAAGCTGGTGAAGGAAAGGGGAAAAAAACTGAAAAGGGGGAGAAGAGTGAAAAGGGGGAGAAGAGTGAAAAAGGAGGCAAAGGTGGTGCTAAAGGGGGTGCAAAGAAAGCTCAGAAGTGAACTCTTACCATGAACATTGAAATTGATCTTTTCATATACTTTCCAGAAGCATTTCAGGTATTGTCTTTTTTTTCTAAAAACCAAATTTGTACAATATAGTATTTGAAATAAAAATTTAAAAGCCTATATAAGAAAATGGGTCACTGATATTTTCTTTTCTTAATCAAAGTCGTGCAAGAAAATCCATCAAGTGGAATGATGTATTTATTATCATATTCACAATTCAATTTTGAACGAAAGAAACGAGAAAACTTATGCAAAGTTTACACTGATATCTACAACATGCCTCCATCACAAAGGAGCAAAGAGAGGATGAGGGGTGCCTTAGCATACACGGCCCACATACTGCAGCCTAGAATAAAGCATTAAGACTAATGTTGGCTCCACTGAGTACATTGCAGCACAAGATAAATATATGACATAAAACATATTCTATACTCCCATGAGAGGTATTCAAAACAATGAAATACAACATTAGCTCTATGATTATTGGCCTTATTTTACACGATTCCAAAGCACAATCATATTACAAGATACAATCAGAGCAGAATACCATGTTATAGAGTATTAAAGTGCTCAAATAAAAATCTCCAGGTATTGTTAGAATGACATTATTAAAATCTTTTTATGCTCTGATATTTTGTGATTTTATTATATAAACACAGCTCCTTATAACTTGACAAATACACCCCAACTGGGTTTCCACAGAACTGTGTGGAATGTAATTAAACGGGCTAAAGGAATCCAGTTGAATGAACAACAAATATTGTGTGTGGCAGGGGAATGCTATGTCATCTCGTGACAAAGATATCATTCCACTTCAGATCATTTCATTTTGCCATCGCTGTGGCCTGCAGTCACCTGTAATTACAGATGTAGTCAATTTACCCAACCTCCACTGATAATCATGGTGGATCCCTGTGGAACTGTCAATCCAACCGTCATGGGCAGTCACTCATAGGAAGAGTTAGTGAGATGGATGCCTTTGAAATTACAGCCTGCATTTTTGCTTTAATAAGATTTTGTTATGTGTTATCACGTCTTTCCACACTTTAAGAGGTTCTGTTGTCTTTGTCTTTCAGTTCAAAGAACTTTTTTTTCTCAAAAACATGCACAACTCTAAACAATGAATAAGAAATATAGTCTTAGATTAAATGTAGAAAGACAGCAGGGCATTGGGAAGTTGTTAACACTGTGACTTTGTTTGGAAATTGTTTGGAAAGACAGTGTGTTATGTCTTTTACATAAAAAACATATAATTACTGTAAATGTGACTTAGCGTATGCATGCCTCATGTGACTTTTTTGTCTTGGCATCTGATCTGAACAAAAAATATGAGAATATTATCAAACAAAGTTAATGAATTAGTAAAAGTACAGTACAATAAACTGCAAGATGAGTGAGACTTAACAGTAAAAACTAGGTAGTTGAAATCTTTTATGAGCGCATATTATGTCAATTTGAATGGTTCTGATTACAGTTCAATATGTTAAATCCTTTTAGAAAATTAACAACGGATATTGAAAAAAATTAAATTGTGGACATAGGATTTATAATTCATTTAGGTCATAGGAGCATGAAAGCTACAAAGAATAAAGAACCTGTCATCAAACATTAGTGTAAAATTTTACAGTAGTTTTTTCTGCATATATCCTTTAGTTGCACTATAGTCCACCTATTGCTAGTGGGGTCACAACGGAGGAGGGGCTGGAACATTTCCAAGCTGACTTTGGGTGATAGGCAGGTTACACCTTGGTTAGGTCACCAATCTATCACAGGGTTACATGGAGACAAAGAACCACACACACATTTGCATCCATTCTTATTGTCAATTTGGAATCATCAGTTTAACTTGTCATGCATGGTTTGGTACGATGGAAAGAAAATGGAGTAGTCATAGAGAACCTACACAAACTCTGCGAGAACATGCAAACTTTACACAAAAAGGCCCCTTGCTCGCTTTTTCTACATATCAGTTGGGATTGTTGAGGTGCTAAATCATGTTAAACTGTGGTCACAAATTTAAAATCATCAGGTACGCCAAAACTCAAAAGTAAAGACTTGAATACAACAGCATTGCCTTTAAAATAAATGGCACTAGTTCATTATTAGTAGGCTTTAGATTGCTAGGAATGGTTTTCCTTTTTTTTTTTGTCTTTGTCACTCCAAGTTTAGGCAAATGTGTTGGATAATAACACAAACATATTTAGTTCTAAAATCTTTTCTCTCTAGGCTTAGCATACCTTTACTCTTTGGTTTAATGAATGACATCACCTTCAATGCCAGCCATGGGGGTTAAGTGCAATAATGTACAAGAAAAAGGGTTATCATATTATCTGTTATGCTTCTGTAAATTAAAGTATGAATGCCCTCTGTAAAATGTAAATATATTCACCAATTCAGTTTGGACTTATATACATGACCAAATATTGCCAACATTCAATTTACAAACACATGAGCAAAAATACATTACAACAGCTTCAACATATCCATACAAATGAACACTTTAGCTCACAATTAGAATGTATTTTTGACACTTGTAAACATTGCGACTTGACTATATACATCAAAAAGCAGCACATCACTTATGCAAAACTACTGTTTTTCTTAACATCCACCTCTAATGTCATTCTTTTAATACTTGGGGAATCCTCAGATTTCTCACTTAATTAGGAATCCACTGAAGTGTAGGACAACCTTCTGCATCCTCTGCTTTGAAAGGGGGTCTCCTCTTTTTCTTTTTTTTAAATCAGTTTATTTTTTCATTACAAATAAGTCTAAACAGCTTTAAAAAAGATTCTAAGTTGGCATTCTTACTTTGGCTATTTTTTTTTTGTCAACTGCAGGGAGATTTGACAGCAGTACATTCATTTCAACCATTCAAACTCTGTTAGAATTAAAGAGAGGAAAATTGGTTTGTTAGACAACAGCAGAAACTGTACAATATTTAGAAAAAAACAAAACAAAACAAAACACATAACCTTATACAAAACACCAATGTCCTCTGGAGAGAAATGTAGACTATGCTGAAACACCACTAAACAGGTGTGCACAACAGAGGACTTCAATTACCTGAGTAACTTCCCTTTTACGCTGAAGTGGATCTAAGACAATGCAGAACAAATGAGATACAATGCCACAATTCATGAATGGATGTCTCTCTTTTTTTAAGCCAGGCCTACACTTAATTAATGTCTAGCTTATACCTACCTGGCTTAAGATCAGGTGATTAAGGCTGTTTTCAGAAACTACTGTACCTACTTAACTCCAACTTGTAATATACAGAAAGAATCACCACAAGACATTTGCTACATAAGCAAACTAGATGGAAAATGAGAAAGACAAATCAGTTTAGGTGTTTACACATTCTCTGATGCGGGTGGTTGATGAAAGAGCTGTGAGTTACTTGCCACAACAGTTTGGGGTCACAATCACTCAGAGTAGCTCTAAAAAGTGATGCATCCTTTATACCTTGAGTCTCAACATTGTTCATGTTATGGCTCGATTCACAGGAGAAAAAAACTGGCAGTGTTGATGTATGCAGTCATCCCCTTCAGACCATCCTGAGTGTTTCCTGCTGCGTTTGTTCTCTTTTCATCTCAATAAACAGTTCCCAAGAGGTCACATGACAGTTTCCCTCTCCTCCTCAACCACAGGAGAGGGTTTCTCATCCTCACTGGGTCGCGCATGAGTAGAGTTCTCCTCTTCGGGTATGTGGAGCTCCTGTCCTGATGAAGGTATGGAGTTCTCTGAGACTGAGCCATTCTTCACATACCCTGGGAGGTTCCTGTGGCCGTTCACAGGCACGGGTCCCAGCCTCGTGGTGAGGTGGAGGGCCAGCGGTCCTCTGGCAGTGACATTGGTAACACTCGTGTGTGATACCATAGGTCCATAGCTGTAAGTGTTACTGCCACTTCGGGCCTTTCTTTTGAAGTCCAGGGCCAATGTTCTGCGACTCCAGGACTTTTTGATCTCAGCTTGAACCTGAGAGCAGATAAAAATTACTCAGTCAAATTTACTTTGAGTGGAGTAGAGTTCAAACTTTCTGAGTTCTTACCTCTCCGTTGCAAAAGCAGTATATGATTGCAACCAAGAATCCCTGGAAATGAATAGATAGGGATTTTACTTGACTCATCTGCGACTTAGTTAGATTTATCATGCACTTAATGTGGCATTTTCACTGTATAATTTGGCATGAGCTCTGATATTTTCAGTCATCAGTTATTCCTGCTATTTTCTTCATCTTAATTAAAATCTTGCCACAAATCAGAAACTAATAAACAATGAGAAACTGTTTGAGACTAGCTGTTTTTTGGAGATAAAATGAACCCGCAGGACATGTCCAATTTCAGTCAGTTTTATCTGATTCACACAGCATGATTGAACAAAAAGGTCCTTTAGAAAAATATTAGTGTTTCTTAAAGTTCTCCTTTAGCACATTTACCTGGAATGAATTGAAAAGCATCTCGTAATGCATTTGGATCAACCATGGAATTCCAGACACCTCTGTATATGGCATGGCATTGAATATGATGTAGTGAACTCCAAACAGTGGCATCAACACAAACGTGGACTTTAACAGTTTTCTGTAACAGAACATTTTGAAATCTCAACCAACAGAAAAAGCACAGCATGCATAAGTACTTTTTGGTGAACATGTGCATAACTGCCAAGCATTAATTGAACCGAAGATGAACAGTTCTTTTATAATTTCAGCAACATTTTAACATTATTTTACTCTAGTATAATACAAAAAGCACAGTGAAAAAGTTAAGAAATGAAACACTTAAATAACCAAAATCCAAACTATTAGACTTGGATTGTCTATTTGGAGCTATGGATTGTGGGAAATACCTGTTAAAACATTGTTCAACACTTCAATTTCAAGACTCCTAAAATCCTGTCAATCAACAGGACTGGACTCCTCAAAGTTAATTGTTGACTACAAAAAGGAGGCTCACATACAGAGATCTAAATGCTGCTTACCGTAATCTGGATGAAAAGATCTAAATTATCAGACATCTAAAACACATTATGGAATATATCCTATTGGCTGTAAAAGTCAGAATAGCAAGTGCTGTCCCACGGGAAGTTTTGGAGAAGGCCTCTATAGCATGAAATTATCCTAAAGACACCTAAAAACTTCTGAGGAATTGATGAATTGATGAATTCCTTTTGCCTCTTTAGCTGTGTGGCGTAACTCAATATAATAAAAATAAACAGGAAAAAAAATAGTTTAACAGCAAGCTAAGACAAACTTCATAAAAAAATACAGTATTTACAAGAAAATCTATTGGTAATATGAATTTAAGATGCTTCTTTCTGATCAAAACAGTTCCGTACAAGTTCAGTTCTCGCCTGATCTATTACTCTGTACCTGTACTGTTGTCTGGTATCACACCTTCCAGCATTTGTTTCCCGTAGTTTAGTTGCTAAGACTCTGATGATGTTCAGAAATAACATAAAGTTAACCTGAAGAGAAAATAGGAACATAATGATATGATTAAGTGTGGTTGCAAAAATGACAAGGGTTGACTGTACAGCTGTAAAGCCGCAGGTGAGATGAAACACTGTGATTTCCTGCTCAGCAGGGGTGCAGTGCAAGCTGCTAGTTTGTACTCACCACTACTGCCACCAGGATAGGCACTTGATATATCCATTTCAAATTGCCTGAACTTAAGTCCCAACACCTGCAGACAATAAGCAATAACAAATTTGGATTGGCAAGAGATATGAAAGATTTAAGCATACTGATGATCCAGAATATCTCTGTTCCACTCCGGTGTTTTTTAATCATATACATCATTTCATAATATCATAGGACTTAGATAATGACTATACAGGGCCTTGTCTCTATCTTTCCGTCTCTATGAGATTAATCCAACTTCTCTAAACACAAGCAACAAATGAAACGGAACAGAAACTAATTCAATTTATCAAAGCACTCATATCAAATCTATATTATTGTGTCCTTATTAAATAATTAATTTCCTTTAAGGTTTATATAAATCCTCACAATGTTCTCTGGCTTTCAGAGGTCTAAAGACCATATTTGTACGAGCATGTACAACAAATAAATAAGATAAATCCCCCTGTATCCGATGTTAAAAATATTAAATTTCTTCTCCTAACCTATTACAGTATATGTCATTACAGATTTTATTTTTCCTTACCAGATTGTACTGTAATATCGGTACATCATAACTTGACTGACAATGTGAATGTGAAAAATGTAAGCTGTTTGTTTTCTGAATGAACTGGCATGCCTCTTGCATGGAGTCATTTCAGCCTTCTATTCCATCCAGCTTTGCTTTTTTAATTTTCTTTGTCACTTAAGCTAAGGGCAGACCTGAACTATTTTAACCGGGTAATGAAAACCTTTTTAATCCTTCCTTTTTTTGGGTACATTGTTGATTTACTGGTGAGCTTTTTGGTCCTTGTCCTGATGCATGACTCAAATTGTGCCATATTTTCTTTTCAGTAAAACAAGAGAAGGTAATGGTCAACTAAGTCCAGTTCGATGTGTAGAAATGTAATAGATTGCTTCCTTTTCATGTGACTGTACAATCTGTAAAGACTTAATAGAACACTTATTTTTGTATTTCATTGCAGTTTGATAATATGAATATTTGTAATGCATTTATCTTACTCCGTGTCGTCAAATATGGCTCTCACAGTTGCCCAGATGGTCACAAACACTGCTGGCACCCCTACAAAATGAAGTACAAACTATCAATAGTGCCGTTGTAAGACATGTCTTTAAGAGAAAAATAATTCAAGTCTTTAAAAGGTTCACATCATATGAGTAGAACCCGAGTTGCACAGCATCCACATTGTATGCGCTGTGCTTATGTGATTTATACGCACAGTGTGTACAATGCAGGAACTGTAAAACTCACATTCAAGCAGCGTTTCCACGGCCCTTTTGTAATTGCATACTACGTCAGCCCTCAAAATTGAAGTGCTTTAGATAAGAATCAATTTGCAGTGTACTGATTGTACTGTAATCAAGTGCATGTAAGTACATAAGCGTAGAACATAAATGAAGAACTCACCCCATCCAATCAGAGTGAATCCCCAGAGATACTTTCTGTCTGAGAAAAAGGTCATGAATATGAGGCTGTGGAGGTAAAGACCCTCCACAAGGATCCAGTAGTAATTGGTCGCCAGGAAGTACATGAACAAGGTCACCGCCACCTTACAGCTGATCTATATACAAACAGCAGACAAAAAAGACAATTAATCAATATGCACACTGACAAAATGACAGTCAAACACAAAAACTGCTTTTAAGGTGACTCAACATTTACAGTGCAAACATCATCTAACAGCTGCCAGTGAACAATAGACTTTGTGAGTGGAGAATGTCAGGAATGTCTACACAAGTCTTGGACTCAAGTGAGCTGAATATGTGCTGGTTAATATGAAGTTAAATACAGCTATTGCAAGTTAACTGAACAAGAGTGTGGCAGCTCATTCATACAGAAGCATATCATAAAAACTACTCCGACAACGCTAATTCAGGAGCTGCAAAGGGTCGGAGCCTTTTAAAGCCGTTACTGGCAAAAGGTAGTCTGTATCCTGCACAGGTTACCTCTGCTGGTTTTCTGAACAAATCTAAAATTACAATTGGCCAAAAAACGCTAAATAGATTAGTTTCACAACACATCTGCTAAACAGTATGAACCAGCTCTCAGATTGTTTGGTTGAAGTTTGCTCAATGTTCCTTTGGGTAAATATTTAAAATGAACATTTAATAGGACTGAAAAAAATGAAAAAGAACTAGGTCTGTACAAATTTTTAAAAACCTGGTGTTAAAAATATCCTTTTTTTCTGAACTAACTTAATGATAAATGTGGCTATTGTGGCATGTTGCTCTCTTTTGAGGTCAAGTCAAATCTTCTGAGAACTCCAAAAGAAAACTAACCTAATTACCAACAACTTCTGGAGAGGTAAGTCCATGAAGAAAAATGTTAGCATGCCAGAGGAATAAACTCAGAAGTTAAGGCTAAAACAGTACTGTGAATTCATAACATGTCATTGTGTGTTTTTAAAGCTGAATGACTGATAGTGGGACAAGCTGTCCACCACAAAATCCAAAACAAAATCAACAAACATCCAGTTCTCTAATGAGTTTGTGCCAACGACAGTTGACACTAACACAACACAGAAAAGCTCAAAAGAAAAATATCACTTAAAAAAATAGGAAATAATTTGCCGGGTATCCTTGTTTTTTTTTTTAACTTAACTCTGAAAAGGAAAGTCAAGTGCTGGCTCAGTATAACTTTGGCAGTGTGACAAACAGTTTATTTGCTCCACCACTGGAAAAGCAGGTGAGACTTTGCAAAATACATGTACCACTTCCACCTTGGAAGCAAATGTGGAACACCAAACTACACTGCAAATCAAATTAGCTGCGCAGGGATCCTTGGCTTTTATATGTGTTATTTGGCATACCATGAATACTTTATGTAACAAGTAAAACTACAACATGTAATTTCTACCTCGTACAATAGACGTATTGAAAGTTTCCCTCTCTTTTAATCAATTGAAGGAAACATTTTTTAATGCTGACTTCTTTGAAAAGCATTTTCACTTACAAACTGCGTTTTGTTGGCTGGCGGAGCTTCAGTTATGGACTTCAGGCCTTCCACTGTGACTCTTTCCATGTTTTCCCATGCAGTTCCAGAGTAGAGTGCAACATCTTTCACAAAAATACTTATAGCTCTGAGCATGTAGGATACAAAGAGGTGCATGTGGATGTAGTTTCTGGTGCAGTGCAACCGTCTGAGGAGAAATCACACAACAGCAGGGTAATCAGTTGAAAATCAGTCCGTACGGTCTGTGCTATTTTTGCACACCTTTGTGTAAGCAAGCAGAAGTGTTTCGACAAATACAGTACACACAAACCATACTTATCCTAATTAGAGCCAGCAGAATTCCAAGCTGACTATAACACATTCTTGAGATTTAGGGAAAACACATTATTATTGGATTGCTATGCTCAGAGTGAGTTGTTAAAACAAATTGCAAACATGTTAAAGAGTAGTTGCAATTGGACTTAAATGTTCCCATAAGAAATGTACCTTGATATGTCCATTGCTTTGAATTTGGTGAATCAATTGTGGTATTGGTTCAATTACCACAATCGTGAAAAAACAAGAGAGAATGTTTAGTAATAGATTCTCACCAGCAAAACATACACGTGTTACATTCCTAAACAGTACCTGGATACTAAAACTAAGCCATTGTGTCTACAGTCTTCTCCATCTCCTATTTTCCACACTAAAGTCTCATTAATGAACTGATAAAGTCGCTTCATAGAACTATTGATTTAAGAAAACTAATCTAGAATACATTTCCCAGGTGAAAAACTGAAACATGAGTGCTAATGTAAAATATCCCTTTGCTCTTCCTGGAACACATTTATGAGCCCTTGCTACTAAAAGCTGATGTGTTGAAGGGGAGACATGGTAAGAGGATTTGGGAGCTCAGTGCCAGAATGTCAGATAGACCCCTGGGATAACTTATTAAACTCATTTGGCCCGTAGATTTCCTGGTGCCAGTTGGGAGCATTCCTAAAACCTTCTGACTGACTGCTTGTACAGTAAGTCATGCCGGTGGAAACATTAGTAAACAGTGGCTTCACATCGATTCCTGATTCTCCTTAAGCCCCATGAAATAGGGAAACACCGACCAATCTGCTCTACATAAATCCAATTGGTTAAACTTAGACTTTGTTACAGTTGTTTTTATTCATGCAAGAAGTCATCTCAATTGTAAGACAGACAGTATAAGCTTTATAAGCACAACGTTGTTTGAAAAATAAGTAATCCTTTCAAGAAACAAACAATTTATATTTAACATTTTACCTTATTTTTCTCCTATATAAAGTGTTTCTGCTTTACACGTTTATGGAACGAAAAGAATGAAGTAGAGTCTATCTCACTTGTAGAGGCTCAAGTATTGTTATCTCAAGTATTGTAAGCTTTCTTGAACCACAAAATCATAATGCAAGTTTTATCCACTTGGAAGCTAAATGTGAAATCAGCATAAAGATGACAAAGAAATGTCAGACTTCCAGGTATCCTTTACTGAAGGCCTACAGGCAGACTGCTCCTAAAGGTAGGCGTATAGCAGTCTGTTAAAAGTCAAAGTCAAGTAAATGCCAAAGGAGATGTCTGCAGTTTCAATGCCTCGTGCTGTTCCTGAGACATCAAATATATTCCGCTGTGTGACAACTGAGTCAAAGTTGCCTGATTTTATGATAAAGCTTCTTTCATCCATGAAATTGTGACGAGATTTGATCAAAAGTAATGCTAAAATAAAGACATTGTGTTATCATTAAACATTTAAGCTCCTTGACCCTTTTTGACATTTCCTTCCACTCTCATTTCTCAGCCAGTGTAGAAATATCTCCTGGGGACCTCTGAGATAGAAAAGGTTGATTGAAAAATTCCACTGACTGTTCACACTCACCGAAAATATCCCAAGATGACAACAGCCACCATAAGGGATCCTAGAGAGATGGAGTATCCGACTGTGTAGATGAGAAACAAACGGTCAAAGACCTCCTGTTGGAGAGAGATAATTTGTTACAATGCCATCTGGTTAACAAAATAGATACAGAATATTAAAAAAAAAGTATTTTAAAACAGAAACTACAAACAATTCTACGCAATCGATGGTATGTCATCACCCCAATTAAAAAAACGTTAAATAGTTTGGGATGGCACGCATGTGTTTCCTAACATCGAAGCAGTTAAAATCACTGTTAGTAACAAAAGCTCATTTAAAAACATTACCTTCGGCAATTAAAGTATTTTGCTTTTCTTTTTTGTACTTCCTTGAAGTGACAGGACAATTAAACACTGATTAGATGTTCTGAACTTCTCTCATCTACACTACAAAATGTTTCCTCTAACAAACAACAGATCCTCATTAGCAGGTTAAAGGGGTATTTAAATGGCTTAGCTTAACAGAGCTCTTTTGGTGAGTCATGCCTTTAAGACCATATGTTGGAAGTTCAACACCAACGTATCAAAACTGAACATCAAAAATAAAAAGTTAATAAGTTTAGGGTTGCCACCATGAGTGAACTACTTATAAAGCGAGATTCTTGTTTATTCATGGGGTTCTGGCCAGTTTCATAATATCAACCACATCTTATATTTGTTAATGAGAGGCTGGGAAGCAATATGCATGCAGTTAAAATCACTGTTAGTAACAAAAGCTTATCTAAAAACATTGACTTCGGGAATTGAAGTATTTTGCTTTTCTTTTTTGTACTGTTCTTATAAAAGCAAATACACTCTCAAATCTTAACATTTCATTTGAGCTGTAGGAAGCTGGGTGGAGCGGTTTGCTTCTCCAACAGCAAGCTAGTTGTGGGAGGGCACCATCAACTCAACCACTAACCAAACATGCAGAGGGGCCCAAAAGCTCCTTGTGATGTAAGCCGATATTGTACTGCTGTTATCATTTAGCATAAAGATCTTGCCTGGAAAACGAGTCTCAGTTGTGGTTGTGGTCTGTGGCATGCTACTTTTGCTGCATGTGCTTTAGTCTGTGCATATGTATTTGTCATTAAATATAGGAACCGCTCATTTGGGAGAACAGCTTGAACATCTGAAGTCATGAACAGGACAATTGTACTGTTTTGATAAATGACAAAAATAACTTAGAATCAAGCTCTTGAAGCAATGCATTTTATAAACTTTTTTAACGTCCTCAATATGTTAAGACAACTTACAGTATCAAAGAATAGCCCTGAGAAAAGGGCTAAACTGGAATTACAATGCTACAATCCCTTGGAAAAATTCTCTCCAGGGCACTATAATTTTATCACTACAACATTTATTTTAAAGGTTCAAAATGTTACTTTATATATAAGTATTAACTCTCATGAAATAATTCTAAAAAGGAAATAGTGTAGTGTAATTTAAACTCAGGTCTCTTGTCTGTTTAACACAGCTAGCCACAGGGATTGTTTGCCATCCAAAACTGTTCCAGTGGATGTTGTGTGAAATATGATAACAAATTTCAAACACATTTAAATGTTTTCCCCTAGAACCAGAAATGCTTCCATTATAGGCATCAGGTCATAGTCACTTTGACTTTTTCATCCTAGTGATAAAGAAATATTGAATGTGCTGTTGTCAAGCAACCACTGGGTTACAATGAGTCTGGTCCTGATTTTTACCGTCCCATGATAGCTTAATGATACCTTAAAACTCATGCGTGTTACTTTAGCTGACTGGTAAGTGCCCTTGGGATGTTTCAAGGTTCAAATTCTTAGTGAGGCTAAAACAGATGTTCCTGCAGAGTTCACTTGAATCCATCGACCATACAGTACTCCAAATCTGACCAATTCACAACCATGTTTCACTGTGAAGCTGGTGTTATAGTAATGGTTTTATCCCACATGTGATATTTTTTATGATGAGCAAAAAGGTTCAGTCAAAGTCTACCTAATGCAAGTTCATTTTTAACACGTTTTCTTGTAAAGATGACTCAACACCATGAAATGTATGTAACGGAATGTAATACTTTAAGAGATTTAAAAGACAGATACAGGAGTTCCAGCTGTTGGCCTGAGCACCTTATCCATGATAATCCTTGCCTTCTTCAATTTCCTAATAATAGATTTGACAATGCTCCAGGGAAAAATTTTTGTTTGACAAATTTTCAGATTCTTACTTCTCTAAAAACTTAAACTCTGGGATGTTTTTACATCAACCTGGTCCTCACTGTATTGGTCTCGTGGAAGTTTGCTGCAGATCCTGGTGTCTTTCACATTTTGCATATTTACACTGAGCTCCTCTGACACTGTCAACAGAATGATTAACTGAGGTTCTAAAAGTTACTGAAAGCCCCAAATTTGAATTAACAGCCTCAAAACCTTAGATCATTCTGTGAGGGTCCATAACATAAAGCATCCCACAAATAAGTCTTGATAAAAAAAATGTAAAAAGCATTTAAGTAACCCAAGTATTAGGTTTATATCAAGATTATCAAGAAATACAATTAGAATAAAAAACATAAAGTTCCACACTGAAAATATTTGATAAAAACAAATTCATAATTGAAAAAGAGAAAAAATAAAACAAATAAAAGTAAAACAAAGCAGCCATAGAAAAATAAGGTGAAAAATCACTGAGCAGTTCAACTGTTCAATGGAACAATTTAATAATTCTGTAGGGAGTTTCCAGAAGATTATTAATAACAGTGATAATAAAACTAATAATAGCTATTGCAAAGGCAAACACAACAGCCAGAAGAGCGGTAATTGTAATCAATGGTAATATGAAGCAAAAGGATGAAATTAAATGAGTCATTATAAAAATAAAAAAATTATTGGAAAAATTAGGACAGGATATTTGCTGGATTTGTGCAGCAGGTTAGGACATGCTGAAAAATTAATTACTGAAGGAGCACATCTGAAACTATTTCTACATGATTTCCGTTTTTTTCTATGTTTTCTTCCAACTGTAACTGCAGGAAATAACACATCTGAAATAAAACTGAATACATGAGTAGATATTTTTCATAATATAAATATAATAGCAAGTAATAATATAATGAAAAGAATGTCCACTTAAAAAAAAGCCTTGGATTTTGACAGACATGTTCTTGTGTTACCATCACAATTCTTACAGTCAGAATGGTGTGAACAAAGAAACAGTTGTCATGGTCTAACAAGCCTGTGCAAAGCAGTGTCTTCAACTCTATCAAACACCTTGGGAACACCTGGCTTGAACTAGAGCCCTGGAGAACTAGAGAACTTGAACACCAATATTCTGTGCAGACTGCAGTGATGCTCTTGTGACTAAACTGGAACAAATCCATGCAGCAGGTTTCCAAAGATTCTTGGGAGAAACTTTGGCTGAAGAAGTGGCGGCTGTCGGAACAGTGCGATTTAATATCTTAGATATTAACTTTCAGTATTTTAGGGATATTCATTTACTTGAGATGAGTGAAAAAAAGAAAAAAAGAGTCAATGATTTGGCCGTTCTCTTCTGAGATTTTTTTTTGCTCCTATAGGAATGTTCTTTGGCAAGATTTGCAAATCTCTATCAAGACGACCCAGACTCTGTTTTCTGTTTGTGTTTGAATGGACATTTAGCTAATTATAGATATATTGTCACAGAGTAACCACATTGCTTTGCAATCCTGTCATTATCTTCCCATTAGAAGCCTAACATATCATTAAAAATGATAAAAGTTTATTCACATTCCACATTACCAAGAAGTCAAATTGCAAATGTGTTAATCATTTCAAGGAATTGTAATTACTGGGTGAAATGTGGCAATACTAAATGGATGTAATATCTTACATGTGGCAGTTTCGTCTGGTGATGCCTATGTTCAGCCTATTTCTAATTAAATCTGATGGAAGCTAGTGTTACTCTGTCAATAAGAATGTATATGGAAATGAGGTGGATCTCACCTTTTCATGGCTATGGTTGTAATGGTAGAGGAATTTTGCGCACTCGTTATAATTGGCCCATGTCTTGTTTCCTAAAGCTTGCTCCCAAGTTCCATTGTTGTCACATCGACGGTATGCTAGTCCTAGACACCAAGAAGAAAAGTCATTTTTTAATTACGTATTTGTAGCTGCATAATTCAACACCTTTCTGAACCCATCTTGGGAGATTGGAGTATGACTGTATCCTGAAAAATGAGTATCGTTCAAGTGCTAGGAATATACAGGGCCCATCTTACCTTTATGGTTAAAGTCATAGATATAGTCTGGACAGGAAGTGGATACTAACTCTCCAGGAGCCCCTTCAGGCCAACAGACAATACCATCCCACTCTGGTGAGCAGAATCCATCTGCAAAGACAAGAACAAAGGCATGCAGAGTGTTGTTCACACATGGCTTTAGCATTACAGTGAATCTCTATAGGTTCTAAAAACAACATAATTGGATCTTTTGTCCTTAATCGGGTAAATAAATGGCATGTATATCTATGTAAATGAGCACTTCAAAGGAGCGTTGTAATTTGTGTCAATTTTGAGTGTGAAGGAGGCCTTTTTTGTTTTGTTCATGGAAAACATGGGTCATCCAGAGAAAACATCTACATACACTACTTCCTATCTGTTGCAGCATAATAAGGACGAGCAATCACTGAATAGCCAGCATCCTGAAAACAAGCTGTGCATTGAGTCCAATGTCTTCACTGAGACTTGATGCCATAGTCATAGTTATTTCCATAACTGTTCTATTGTTGATAGCATCACGCTGGTTTCAAGTTGTATGGAAATGGTTTCACATGGATCTCATTAATGAGATCGTCTTTGACACTGAAAGCATTGTAGTTCTCAATTAAATTGTTATGTTATCATCATTCATTAGTTTATATTAATCTATATACACTTATCTGTATGCGTTTTTTTATTATGTTTTGGGATTTTTTAGCAGAGTTACAGGGTTTTAAGAAAAACAAAAAAAGTCTTGTTTCAGTATACAATGCCCACTATTACCATCTAAGCAGTGTATTTCAGCCCACTGATAGTGGGAGAAAAGTTTTCTCCTCCACAATGTCTTGACAAAAAACCTTCTTTATGGCTTGGCATTTATGTTGCATTATTGAAAACATCTGCCCCACTTTGACCACTAATAAGTAGCTAAGGATAAAACTAAAACAGCCCACTCTTTGCAGCAGATCCATTATTTTCTCATTCCTGTAATCAAACTTGCAAAGAAAGATCTAGCGCTATGGCGACTCGCTTTTTATGTGCCTGTCACTATGACCATGAAATTAAAGAGCAGACTGAGTGGAGCGGACTGATTCCTACAGATCTCTGGTGGGAAAAAAACAGAGTTTAGTTTTGAAAATCACACTGACCACACATCCTGGGAGTAAAAGTAGAATTGCTGCTCACTTTTGCCATTGGTTTTATAGCCTTAGGACCACCTACTAACATACTTAAATGAAGCAGTAAACACACACACAAGCAAGCCAATTTCCATGAATTCCTTGACCAGGATTTAAATATAAACGTGATGATGAGGGCACTTTGGTATTAGTGATGTCACTGGGGTTTTACAAGGTTTTCTTACCCTCCCAACTCAATTAATTCTGACTTTCAGATGTCTAAACACATATTGAATTTTCTCATGATACATACAACCCTTTATAATGATTGCTGATGTTATTCTATTCCTGAACCACAAGCTTGAGGGTTGAGTTATTTTCACACTGCAAAGTCTGGGGATTCGAACCCACATCCCTCCACTGTCCTCTCCAGGAAAACCTCAGTGCTGAACCTCAAAGAAAACCTTGTCTCAGCAGGGTAATGATTACTTTTGTGTATTTAAAGAACATAGAAGAAGCAAAGCTGCTTAATCAGAACAAAACTGATTTTCAGATTCATACAATTCCATTCATCAACACACGTGTGTGATCTGGGATTGTTCCCAACAGTTTATGTTGTACTCATTATTCCTTATTTCCTTGGAAGCTCAGAAAATCATCAAAGTTTACAGCAACGGTGCCAAAAATAATAAGAAAAAAAACACTAGGGGTGTCAGACCGGACTGAGGAGCAGAGCTTGGCAAATACATAGTTTTTATTAAACAAAAGGTCGCACTCTCTGGGAGTGGAATCGCAAGGCGCTGAAATAATAATCTCTAAAATGAGGTAGAACTAAACGAAGAAAGTACAAACTAATGATCACTCATATGAGGACAGATACAGCTAAGAAAGTAACAAAGAATAATCACTCTTTGCGAGGACAGGAAAAAAGCTAAGAAAGTACAAAATAATACTCACTCTATCGAAGACAGAAAAACTATGAAATTACAAAATAATAATCGCTCTTAAGAGGACATAAAAACTATAAAGGTACAAAATAATAATACTCTATCGAGGAATACGTGGGGGATCAAGACAAGGAATTTAAAAAACAAGGTTAAGCTCAGTATCAAACAGTCAAAATGACTAACATGATCAAACACACTGGCACCAGACAAGGGGGACACAAACTATTTAAACAGATGAAGGGAAGGGAACCCCAGGTGAACACAACTGATGATTATGGGAGACAATCAGACAGGTGACACACAGGGAATTGCAAGTGACCTGAAACGAGAAGGGATGTACTTTTCAAAATAAAACAGGATATGACAAGACCAAGACATGACAAAACACCAAAAACACCCAAGGCGTGACAGGGGGTGGTCAGGCCAGCAAGAAATGGTACAGATGCAAAGTCAAAGTTCTAAAAATGCACATAAAAGGCCATCATCATTTAAAGCTTAATCTTCAAAGTCAAAACAAAAACAGTGGGAAAAGAGCCTTCCATGTTAAAAAGAAAAATATTTTAAAAAAGAAAGAAAAGAAAGAAAAAGTCACAAAAATCTCAATCTGATACAACCATTTAATCAATCATCAGAAAAGCAACAAAAAAAAACTCTGAAGCTTTTTTTGAAAACCATGAAAGTCCAAATTACTTTAATCTTTATACCATAGCGAATCCTGGACTTTGGCTGATTTCCACACAATATAATTACAAACAGCAAGATGTGGCTCTCTAGCACCAATGAAGTGAAGGAAAAGCAATTCCTGAGGCAATAAGTAAAAAAATCTAATCATGCACATCAAAGTACAAAAGGTATGTGTTCACCCAGGCATAGGGTACAACCACATCGGCAAGTTTTTTTTTCCAGTAACATGTTTACTCTAATTTCCTTAGCTGTTATAAGATTGAACAGACTTGTGCAACCTTCCAAAAGAGGTCAGACAACAGCCACCACATGCAAGATGAGTCACATGCAGTGTAGCACAACATCATCAGGCATGCAGGTCAGCCCGCTTGTACTGATCCACCAATCTATCCCTAAAACAGCAACTCAAGCATTTCCCATATTCTTTATCTGGTATTCCAGATGGGCATGTTAGTGCCCACCTTTAGGTTCAAAATCTATTCTGATAGAGGTATAGGGTAAATGTAAATAAAAGAGGATAATTCAATTGAGTACTGGCAAGAGAGCTATTTTATAGTGCATTAATACAATTAACCCCATAATTCTTCATTTCAATTACACAATCTTTATCTATCACTGTTATTACACCCCATGACAGTAATCAGGCTGACCCACATGCATTATGAGAGGAACAGTTAGACATTTAGTCCGAGCTAATAACATTCCTGTGTGTTAAACATGATGTACAAATTGCACCCAGTTAGCTTAGCCAGAGATGATATAAGAGACACAAACCACTCTTTGTTGCCTAGAAATACCAAAAAAGTCTGTAGAAATGGCAACCAGTAATTGACGCGCACAGGTTGAGATCTATGGGAGCTGTAACTTTACGGTGGCGGGCTGCAACTAAGGAGCTACCAGCACTGCCTTGAAAATTGGAGGATGTGGAAACTCTAACACTAAAGAACAACATCACATGGAAAAAAGAAAATAAGGGGAAACATCTAACCTGGTTTGGCCATGTCACAATTCCTTGAATTGAGGTCAGACTTAAATTATAGCTGTACATAAAATATATTTGATTTATGTACAACTACAACATAAACAAATAAGTCTGTACTTAATCACAAAACAAAAAGTAATTTTGAGCTTTCATTATATTTAGATTAAATAGGCTGTATTTTAGTAAATTATGTCCTCAAGGTTATCTACACATTCATATTGGGACCTGGTGTTGTGTCCAAAAACTAGACCCAATAAATCTGTCTTAGTTCAGCACATCTGCAAACGAGACAACAGCTGTGAACACCTGCGAGAGCTACTTCAATGCTACAGTCACACTGAGATCAAGTGGGCTGCTGAAATGCAACACAGCTCTTGTTATTTCTTCATTTTTTTATGCGACTGCCCTTTCTCTGTGACCTAAATCCCAGACAGGTGGACAGGAAGAAGCACTGAAATAGGGTCCGGGAGCTATGATTCAGGATACACGGGTATATTGTTTGCAAAAAGCACCATAGCTGACATTTAGCACTATACCTGACATTTAGCATTATACACAACACATCATACCACATTTTGAATTAAAATGAAAGTAGATAAATTAGATGTCATGCAAAGTTTTGCTGATTTGACTGTAGTATACAAAGGGCAGATGATATATGGTTGTACCACCCATTATATTTAATTGACAGTGCTTCATAGCTCCAAAGAAGGGACATCTTATTCTGAAAATTGTAGATTCTTGAGTATACTCCTGGCCTCTTCTTCTCACATCTCAAATTGGAGTGACAGATGTGAGGAGAGGAGGCAAAGAAAGGAACTGAGCTCGTAATAACTGTAATGTAGACGGATGCCTTTGTGTTGAAGAGAGCAGCTCATTTAACAAGAGTTAAGGAACATTATTTTATTTTAAATACGGTAACCAGATTTTATTACTCACAGATCAACCAGAGCTCCAATAGTTTTTCACTAATAAGGTCAGTACTACTCTCAATCCACTTGCAGTGAATGTCCCCAGACAGTGGTAAGGCAATGTGCTTTCTTATGGTCTGCTGGGCAGGCTACAGATAGAAAACATTACATGCCGTAAACCATTTATAGCACCACGACTCACATCCGGTAGTAAATGGTCTGCACTTATATAACATCTCTTGACCTTAGCTGATTCTAAGTGCTTTACAATGTGTTTCTCACTTACCTCACAAACACGAATACACAAAAACAACTGCAAATACACACTCACACATGCACGCATCAATGGAGGCAGAGCTGCTTAGCAAGTATTGCACGAACAAATTAAATTGATTCTCAGTTCCAGCCCTGGATGCACGTTTTAACATTATTGAAGAGAAAGCTGCACAAATAATGCTGATATTCATTACCAAGTTCTAAAAAAGGATGAAGATCGTCTACAGAATATCCAGTTCAATTAGTAAATTATGTGGTGGCAGGTGCATATGTTAGGATTAGATACAAAATCAATATTTCTAAACAGGATTAGGTCTATATTGGCCAGTTCTAATAAATTATATTGACAATGCAGAATTGCTAAGAAAAACATCTACTGTGTAATCTTAGTCCAGGACAAGAGCACCACTGTTGGATGAACATGACCATAAATAATTTCAGACTGCTTTGCATGGGAAACAAACAGGTCAACATTATTAATATATTAATAATATATAATAGTCATATCAGCTCAAGACTGCTGTACCTTGGAAAATGTTTTCTATTCTGCATTATGCACTCCTGCATCCAGATAGTAAACTGAAACTCCAATACATCATATATAATCTCTTCAGGAAATGCACTTCTCTGGGTGCAAGCACACTCAGATGGAACACTGGCAACATGTTCAGTCAGATACATGCACATTTGACTTGTCTTTGGGAAATAACCAATATCTGCTTTTATGTGCCATATATGAAAAATGCTTATTCAGACTGCTATTAATCAAAGGAGCTACAGTCAGTGACGCCACAGAATGGCTTATTTTTTGTGTCTGTGCTTTATTGACCTGCCGCTAGTTTAGACCTGTCTCTTGAAAATGTATTGCACATCATCAATGAGAGAATCAAACAATGACAAGCACATAGTGATGAAAAGCTGAGGTTGTGTATTCAACAAGATTGGACACAGATTCCTTTTACAAATTATGACAATTTATTAAACGTGCTGTATGAAGGAATTACAATGAAGAATAGTTTATTAATTGAATGTACAAGAAAGCTCTTAGCATGTCTCAAAATGTCAAACACATTAGGAAATTAAGGAAACTGACATTTGTTAATCCTATGTTTAGTCAAAACTGTCCACTTTGGTCTATTGTCATTAACGTTTGAAATGGTGACATTAAAGTCCATGCTTTAAAAAGCATGGGGCTGCTATTAAAAAGCATGGACTAAATGCTTTTAGCCCATGCTTTAAAAAGAATTTGCTTGGAGGTGTACATTGCAGAGTGCCGACACCACACTTGCCAGAAACTTTGACATGCCAAAATGGATTAGGCATGATGGTGGTCAGAGAGCAGCAGACTTTCATCCAAGGGAGCCCTCATGTTTGATTGTCCAGCACTATGTTGGCACATCTGAACGTCTTATTATATATATTAAGATAAAGTATAGTTCTATTCTGTGACTCAAACACAGAATGCTGGTCTCAATTGTTGCCATTGTGTCATTATTTAAAAAAACTGACATAAGATTGATGCAGATTTACTGAAAACATTAAAGTTGGATAACACCACAGAAGGAATGTGAGGGCAGGGAATAGTCAACAATGGCTTTTGTGTTCTGAGCTTGGTACGTTTTTAATTATGTGTTTTGTTTTTATAACGGGTATCGTTTGGAGGGTCAAGGAATTCAAGACAACCACAATACACTGGAGTTGAAGAGAAAATATTACTATTGGTTTGGCAGTGGAATCCAAAACCCTTTTTGAACATCAACTGGGAAAATGACAGTAACCACTGTTCCAGTAGATGCTGGGGTCGGCTGGAAAATGGTTCTCTTTGGACACCCTTAATACACAAATACGCCTGAGGATCAACTTTGCCTTCAATCCCAGGCTCAAAAAAGCCACAGAGAGGACAAAGGAAACAAAGTAGCATTTTCAAATGTAACCATCAGCACACAATGAACCGCTAACCAACTTCTCTAAAATAAAGCTGGATCTGTACACATCAGCAAAATGTAAAATTGTGCAGAAAATGTTTGTCCGTCAAACATTTCCTTTTAATGAAGCACAGTTAGGATACTGAGAGGAGTCTGCACAACACCAGCTGATTATAATAAGAGAGTGTAAGCTATTACAATCAGCAGTACCATTCAAAGAAGACACCAATCATATTCAGTAATGATAAAAAAACAACACTTGATGGCCTGACGCTCTCTCACTTTCACTTTTGTGGGCATCGTGCAAACGCTGCTGATAGTAATGAAACTAAAGTGTGTGATGTTTGCTCTCCCCTTCCAGCCCCACCCCCACCCCAGCACTTTTCAAATCTACTACTGTAAGGTTGTTCTCCATCACCCTCAGGGGAATTCATTACACCCCCACATTTAACACTCTCTAAAACTGTGATTTATGGAGGAGCATTCTCAGCTGCTTAGCCCTTTAAGAAGATAAATGAATAAATTGAGAAAAAAAAAGGATTTTTGATGCAATGCTCATTCTTCTGAGCAAATGATGTGAGACCTCTCAATCTTCTAATCCATTAACAATTTCTCGCATCCCGAATATCTATATTTAGATATATACGGAACAAAACACTAGATATGGGTTTACAGATCGCACCTGTTATCTCTCCAACCAACCCATTAATCTGGATGATTGCACCCAAATAATAAACATATCCATAATATGAATTTCTCTGCTACAATAAATGTAATATTAGGGGAATCGAGGGTATTTTACACAGTTAACGTCTGTAGTCCAGAACTTCCTAATTGAATACTTTTTGTATCTTTAACAGAAAAAAAATATGTGATCGTTGACGATGTAGCTACAAAACTGACATGACATGAGAGTTTTACATACTCACCAGGGACCTTGTTCTTGGACTTGATGTTGCCCTCACACTTTCGTTTGGCTCTGAACAAAAGGCCTATCTGTTCTTCTTTTGTCAGCACATCGTCTGCACAAACCTGCAAAACAAGACAATGTTTGAAAGTGATTGTTTGTTTTCTTACGGGATGAAGGAATCCAACAGCAAAATAAAAATCCACAAAACGAAGAAACAGAATATGTTTTTTAACTGCACATGGAAAATCTGTATCTGAAGCCAGCCCTGCCTTTTCATTTCATACAATGTTAAGAATTAAATTTGGAACCTGGCTAATATAAAGACAGGAATTATTTTTCCCAGCTGTTGAAAACCCACTAAGCACTCTATGTGCACCTGCCCATAGTGCTATGAACAGGGGGAAAAAAAACAGTTTTCCTTAGGATACATCCCCCAAAATGTATTTTATCATGAGAGTGGCGTGGTTTTGTGGAATGTCTGACAATGTGCTCTGTATCCTGAGAGTTCGCTACGGCACTGCTTGGACGTGGCCAAGGCAAAACGTTTATCCCTTTTTTCCCAGATTATGTATGTTCTCAGCTTCAGCATTAGCGGGTGACTTGGTGTTTTAGGTGTGGTTTTACAGTCACAGAAACATTTCCCTTTCTCACAGATTAAACCAACTGGCTTGCTGTTTGTTCGTGGATCACTTTTAGGCAAAAACAAATGTGACTTCACTGAAGGCAGCCGCATTCATTAATCCGAACTTGACAAAACAGGTGGGAATGAAAACATTAAATTCACACCCAGTGTGAAGATTTGAACATCGGCTGGCTAACAAATGTCTACACACTGTCACTACTGCTCTGTGGTGTTTTCACACGGTGAATGAAAAACTAACACCTATGCAACACAGAATGCCTGGTGGTGTGAAAAATTATTATTTTGTGATCCAGAGCAAACAGTACAAATTAAAAGCAGACATTTGCTCGGAGCTCCTGACTCTCTGACTGAGCTTGCAACATGTGTGAATGTTTAAGCATCAAAATTTGCTCTCACTCCATTAGCGAAGTAGGTCAGTTCACATTCTGATATGAAAATAATTTGTCGGGAGGCAGCGTAATTGAAACACTCAGTGAAGGGCGAGGATGCTGATGACACGCTGCATAATTCAACTTCTATGTTTTGCAGCAATTCCTTGTAAAACTGTATGTCTCAAAAATCATATTCACCATCTGGCTTAATGTATACAAATGCGATGGAAAATAACTGCAGAAGAGACATTAGCTGGGCCTCTCAATAGATTTGCCTCAAGCTTATATGAAAGTTTTTATACCTGTGTATCAAGCAGTGTTTGGAGCATTATTATTTGTGAATAGATCAAACTTTAGAGAACAATTGCTACACCTGACGGAATCGTCTGTTTTAAACTTTTGATATCCCTTGCCAAAAAAGAATCTAGAGGGCCGGATCATAATCCATTTCTAAATCTTCTTGCAGAGGCACTGAACATTTGGGAACAACAACAATGTCCCTGATGCAAGAGAGCAATTTCGAGAACTTGAAATTAAACAGCAAATAAGCCGTTGTTGGTTTATTGCATACAAACCCACAATACCCCAGTCCATCAATATTTTCATTACTTTCAGAGCTGAAATAAGGATGTCCAGTCTCAGAGCTGAATACAGTTACAGAATGAAGACATTTATGGCTTTGCACAGTAAACAACCACAGATGGAACAACATTTGACCACAGGCGAACAAGGATAGATACTACCTGTTTACTGTGCTAACTATGCCAATATAGAATATTCCACTGACAGCCACTGAGACGTTCACTCTATTTTCATCTGAGTAACTGCTTGGTGTTACTTTGGGTTAAAGCTTACCCAGAAAATGTTTAGAAAAGGTCAATAATGATCCTAAACCTACAGCACAAGAATCCCGATCATCACATTTATATCTAGTAAAGATGAGTGTCCACCTCTCATGAAATTCACTTGGACTTTAAATGTTACATTATTTTTAACAGAGCATCGGTTACAGTTTTTTAAATGTATTTCCTCATAATAAATCAGATCAAAACAACAAAAAAACAAAAAAACCTTTAAAGCCAAGTTTAAGCTCTTATCGCTGTGGTAGATTAATCTAAAACATTCAAACGGGAGTATTTCCACTTTTTCAAAAACTACAGAATTGTTTGCTGCCACTGCAGGCACAAAGAGCCTCAGAGGAGTATGATTTACCATTTCAAGAAGAGAATTATAGGTAATAAGTGTACCCCCCGATTATTTCTGAAAACTATCCCTCTTCCACTGGCGGGTGTCCAAACCTCCAATGTAAACACAACTCTCCTGGGAAGAAACATGGACATTCTTATTTACTGTGCATCATTCAAAACACAATATTCTTTTTGTTGAAGGCTTTTGAATTTTTGCCAAAATGAAAATTTGAAAGATACACGCAATAGATTTGTTTTTTCATGACTGGTCGCTGGAGTACAAACTTAACTTAACCACAAGTCCATGTATTTATATTTTCAAAATGTGACTTAATGACTTTAACTGTAGCTCTCTGCAAGAATACAACAGAAATGTTGAGAGAACTGCATTTAGACTGCTTTGTCAAGAGAGTAGTGAAGAACAAAGACTTAATACTAACAGTATCCAGAATGAGAGCCAAGCTACATTTACAGTTAGGAGTAAGTTTTTCATCTTCAGCATTTGGTTATCATTTATTAGTACTTTTGTTCACTGACATATAATTATCAGGACTGAAATACTTTTTCTTCACAGTTCACTTATTACTATTAATATTTTCCAGTAAAGAGGGAAAATGTTTAGTATCTCTTCTAAATGGACAATATCTAATGAAAAGCAAGTGGACACCAAGTTTTTAATAATCATCTACATCTCTTTGCATTCTTCTTTGGGGCCAGCTGAATGATAAAACAATTAAAAACTAAAATGTACCTCCTATGCAATACATTTTACATAAATATACCAAGTTTGTTGCAATATTTGCTCACTGTGATATGAAAACTATTTCATATAAATCAAATCGTAGACTATAAAAGATTTTGCTTTGTTATAATAATTTTTCATTAGCTCACAAAATGGAAAAAGCTTTTTTATAAAGTTAAATACAGTGACTCTCCAAGCTGCTCTAACCCATCTTACTGTCCTCATCCAGCAGACATGACTGGATTAAAAAATGTATTACTGCAACTGTTGTGGCTGCAACAGATCAAATTATGGGTTTTATGTCTTTTTATGTTTTCAGAGCCATACACTGAAGCTTGCTATGGTAGAACTTCATTTGAAAGCACATAATAAAAACTTACCAGTACAAAACATTCAGATGCACCAAAAAAAACATAGTTCTGAATACAATAAGTAGTCTGTAAGTGGGTGTTCGCAGAGAAAATGGATGATACCATCTGTGCTATTTGTATCTAAAAAAATTAAAAGGTTGTATCAGTACATTACAAAAAAATTATACAACGTAATGCCAGTTCTAAGAATTTTCAAGCGATACAATGTAAGCTCCATATGGTCTCCAATATTCCTTTGACCCCTCTGAAAAGAGCCATTACAATTTTACTCTTTAAAGTAGCGAAGTCCTGCATAGACTCAAAAGCCGAGATTAGCGTCAGATCGATTAGAAAAATGTAATAGTTGAAATTGTTTTGCCTGTATTCAGCTTTGCTACTTTGCAGCAAGATTATAGCCTGAAAAAATAAAACACTTAAAACAATATGATTGAAATACCTCCATATGATTATCCAGATGAAGCTCCTGGTTAAAGCTTCATTGCTTTAAAAAGAGCAAAAAATGTGACATGATGTTCAATGAGTGAGGTGAGTCCAATGACTCATGAAATGACAGGTGATTGGCTCAAAGCTAAAGACATCCGGGTTTAAAACACGCTCTCATCATCCCCTTTAACATGAGCTACATGCATATTGCCTGCACAACTTACTGATAGTATTGCAATTCTAATCTTTTATTTGTTTTGTACTTCTTTTTATGGGTCAAATGTGCACTTAGATAATTTATTTATATTACTTGATTAGGTGCGTTACATGTAAACATTTCTACATTTAAAAAATAGTAATTTAATTGCAAACAAGCATACATGCCTGGGATCATTTGTGTTATCTGTACAACGGATGATTCTGTATGATGTTTTTAATATTTCAAAGTATTATTTTGAATCAAACAACTTTTAGCAAAGCTATGTGAATGAACAGAAACAACCGTCAACACACACACACAGATTGCCTTACTTTATTTGCTTCAACAGTTTATTCCGTTTTAAGAGTCAGCATAAAACCTCTGATCACAACTCTGGCACCATTCTAACTGGAAGCACAAACCATAGGATTTTATTTTCTCTCATTTCAGAGCCAATAATGCCTCTCCTTGTTAGCTGATCCATCAGTGAGGATAACTTTTTTTAGGTAAAGTGAAATTTTCCTTTCCAGATCACACTTCATCACATGGATGATAAATAATACACTGATAATATTTACTTTGGTCGCTGCAAGGCGCCTCTATTATGGGAATACAGTTGAATGTTTGTTTAATGTACTTGTTTTGGTCATTTGCCATTCTTTACACCATCGCCTAACATTTACTTCCTTGTTGTTGGCACGTATACAAAGTTTGATCTCATGGGCTTTTTTACTTTCCTGTATGCTTTTTCACAAAATAGCTTAAAGTCTAGAAAAATCCAACATTACTAAATCTAGTTTTTAGCAGCCTGTCCACTATCTGGAAAAGACATGAATATGTTACTTTTGACATATTGGACCACATGAATGTTTTAGCGGATGAGGTTCCTGGATATTCTAAACTCTATGACTCAGTGCCACTCCTCTTCAACTGTGCAATTTGCATTTGATGATAAAACCCACAAACCACAAGACTGGCTGTCCTTTGGAAATGCTCACAGACCACATTCTGACTTAAAGCAGCGTTTAGCTCCTAATTATACCCTGCTATGGTTGTAAGCCTGAAGAACAGCACTTTTGTCCCAAATGGAAACATTGTGTGTTTTCTGTGAGGTAGCTTGCAAAGCAGATAGTTATGATTGTGCTGTTCTCTTAAATTAAAATGGATAATTCTCCCATTATATAAGGGATTTATGCACCAAGTATGTGGCTTTGCCCTCGTACAGCAATGCAAATGCAACATTTTAATTATCATCAAAAGCTTAAAACTACAGTTATGTAACAATAAATGCTTTGGTATTGCAGAAAATATCAGTGGATATCACAAAACAACTAATGATATAAGTCAGACTGCTATCAGATTGCTTGGTTTGCGATAGCAGGACAGTATGTTTCAATAAATGTAAATCTATGCATGGATTATGGGGATTATAAATTAAAAATCTATAT